TCCTGAAAAAAAACCCTGGTCTGATGTATCGGGGTTCCCAGAAGCTTGGGTGGGTCACCTTAATTCAAGAGTTCCCTGTAAGTACATGGGTTGCCTCAAAGATAAACAGTTTTTGATGACCTGGTTGAAGTATTAGCTGTGTAAATTTTGAAAATGCAACTTTTAAACAACCAACTCTGTATAGAACAGTGGTTTCCCACCAAGCAGCATCTCCCTTTTCCCAAACCTGGGAACAATTAACAATCTCTAGAGGCCTTTGAGGTTGTCACAACTGAGAAGAAGCACAACTGGCATCCTGTGGATAGAGGTTAGGGATGCTATCCAAATTCCCACAGTGCACTGAACAGCTCCTCACAATAAAAATTACCCTGCCTAAAGTGTTAACAGTGGCAAAACCAAGAAATGCCCCTCTCCAGTCTCCTCAGTAGAGCCTCCCTATAAACAGGACACACCGAAAAGTGGTTCTTTAAGCCACAAGCTACCAATGTGACACAGTCAAGATTTACCAAGCCCACCATTCAGTCCACAGCCAGACTGCTCCTTGTTGAAAAGGCGATTGGGTCCCCAGAAGTCATTCTTGGATGGCCTTCATGATTTTTATCACATTTGTAAAACCAAAAAAAAAAAAAAACTATATATTTATCTACTGAACGTTTCATTGGCTTGTTTTTTATTAAATTTATTTCAAAAGGAAAATTCATATCACTGACCTTATGGAAAACCAGTGTCTCTTGCCATACATGGACAGTCATAATGGAGTGACGGCCATAGTGGAAGTGCAAGCAATGAAATCTCAGTGGTTATTATTCTACCCTAACTATTGTTATCCAACATCCCTTCTTTATTAAAAAGTGGGATAGGCAACTAGGGGAAGAGGGTTAACAGTACTGTAGCAGGAAACAAGGGTGTTTTCCCTGGGAGAGTCATAGAGAGGAAGACGGGATGACTCTGATTCCATGTCAGACAATGGGGAGGATCTAAGGCAGCAGAAGCACCACAGGGTTGGTGTCGGTCACCCAGATGCCCCAACCCTGGGATGCTCCAGGTGCCAGCTATGTGGCTCTGGGAAAACCTCTCATCTTCTCTGAGTGGCTTTTCACCTGTGAGGCTAACCTGTTACCTTTCCAGAGCCCCAGATGGTCAAGCAAAGTCATGAAGGTGACCATCATCTATAAACACAGTGAGGAAATAGTAACATTAGAAGGCACACTGGGTGCTTCACAGCACTCTAGGGCCAGGCTTCGTAAGCCCGACTCCCATTTTGGCACGTACTAGCCCTATGAACTTGCTTATTTTCCTATCTTTAAAGTGGGTATTATAATAGGATCTAGCTTACAAGGTTGTTCCCAGGGCTTAATAGAGTGAATACATAGAAAAGACTTACAACCAGATGTAGAGAAATGAAATATTGAGCTATAAGGGAAAGCACATTTCAGAGTTCAGATTATTATTTTTTATTCTCCCTAGTGTTGGTTGTAAATTCTATTTAAACTTGCTGGAAATCCCAAAGAAAGGTGTGGCGATAGAGTAAGGGCCAGAACCTAGCAAAGGAATGTAGTCAGTTGGGCTCAAAAACCTCTACTGTGAGGTAGAAAATGGCCCTGCTCCCTGGGGTAGGGGAAGGAAGAGCCTTCACTTCACCTCTGGTAACTTGGGCAGAGGGCCACTGTCCACCTCCGAAGGGCTGCTCATTTGACGAGAGCCTGAACAGTGTAGGAGGGAATGGGAGTGAGCCTCGCAGCAGGACTGCCACATGCCCTTCCTGGCGAAGCTCCGCCTTCACCAGTGTCCTAGTGTGAGGAGCAGGAGCTCCTGGCGTCACCACGGACTTAGGTGCTCTCGTGTATGGGTCTGGCGCCCAGCAGGTGGGTAAGAGGTCAGGGGCACGCTGCCTAAAGCCAACACAGGCTCTGCGTATTGCGTGGGTTCATGAGGATTTCCTCTGAGCGGGCAGTCTGGGCCCAACGGGGGCCTTCCAGGGCCAGTGAAACAACACCTTGAACACAAAGGAGACATTCACAGCTATCACTGCTCCTCTGAGAACAGAGAAGAGGGAGGATTGCATCTGCTCACCAGCTTATGTCCCCGCGATCCTATTCAGTGACCACAGAGAGGCCATCAAACCACACCATCTCTCATTTGCCTTTTCCAGGGAGCATCCTGACCAGACCAGGACTGGCTTTGGCAGTGAGAGCCTTCTGCTTCGAGGCTGCACCATCAGAAACACCGAGGTAGCTGTTGGCATTGTCATCTACACAGGTACCTGTCTCTGGGCAGTTCATTATGGCCAACCTCCCATGACTCCATCTTCAGTTACGGGGAACATACAGGCTGAAAACCATGGAAATTCCCATATCTCAGCTAAGGAGACTGAGGCTGGGAGTCGCAGCAGCTTACTCTACCCACAAGAAGCTGAGTTAGCATTACTCTTTTGAACCACACAGGGAAAGGGGTTCATATTCATTCACCTCAGTGGTCTTGTGACAGTAAGGAAGGGTGGAGAGAACTTCCTCTGGTGTGCAAAATAACCTCACCAAACAACTTCACCTTTCAGACCTCAATGTCCTCATGGTACAGTGAGAGAAATATCTGTGTCTCTCTCAAAAGGATGCATGAGGATCAAATAAACCAAAACATGAAAGGCACCCAACACTGTCCAGTGATGGGAGAACTTCAGAGACCGCAGTTCCTACTTTACGTGGTGCTAGGGATGAGACCCAGGGCTTCGCACAGCTGGCCGGGCTCTACATCTGAGCATATCCCCAGTCCCAGTTAGTACTTTTGTCATTGCTTTCCCTGTTATTTTATAACCCTGGGGTGGGGGTTGGGGGTTTAGTCCACTGTTCACTACCATACTGATCACAGGCTGGCTGACTTTGTAAAGAACAGAGGTGTATTTAACTCACAGACAGTCTGAGAGGTTTGGGGACATGGTGCTGACGTTGCCTCGGTTCTGGTGAGGACTCTCAGCTGGGTCACACCACAGTGGCAGCCATGTGTGAAGGAACAACTACATAACAGCAAGCAGAGAGACAGTGAAGTCCTACAGTCCTCCCTGGGATGCACCCCCAACCGATGTCCTAGGTCCTGTCTCTGAAAGGCCCTACCTCCCAGCTTCACCACATCATAGACCAAGCTCTAAAAACAGGAACATTGGAAAAACAAACAACATTCAGACCATAGTACAGGCCTTTTGCTCCTTTTGCTTTTTGAAATTGAAATCTCTGTTAAAAACAAAGAAGAACCCCCAAGTGGGTGATGGGAGTAGGATATGAGGGGACACATTTGGGGACAGTATTAACATGTAGCCTGATGGCCCAGGGTAAAGTCCAGGTCATGCTCTGCAGGTTCCTGTGCTCGTTGGTCAAACTTTCATTGCAAAAAGGATCAAGGATTTCTGCCCTATATGCGTATAAAGTTCAAATGAGGTTATCTGTGAAAAGAACAGAACACAATGCCGAGAATGAACCATGCGCTCAAAATAATTGTGAACACATGGGACACTGATTAGTGATACAGCCTAGAGCAGAGGCCTTCAACCTTGCTATTATGGCATTTTGATCTGGAGTAGTTTTTGCAGCAAGGGGCTGTCTTGCTCAACAAAGCTAGCAGCCTCCTTGGCCTGTATGTGCCCAGTACATAAGCCTCACTCCTCTCCCAATTCATGACAGTCAAAACCTTCTCCAGATATGGCCAAATGTCCACTGAGGAGTGAAGGCAGCTCTGGTTGAGAACAGCTGGCCGAGAGTTTCCTTCTCTCCCTTGTCAGTCAACTAGATAGGAGGACATCAGCCTCAGAGGCCCAGAGGGGGCACACTGAGCTTTGCAGAAGGAAGGGGTTCAGCTCAAGCTGTGTACTCCTCACAACAAACATCATAGCTTCTGTGTGCTGGGAATGAACCTACCGTACATTAATTCACTCCACACCCTAAATGCACAGCCTTTCTCTACCATTTTACAAAGGGAAATTGAAGTACGAAGGCATTCATCCCTCTTACTCTGCTGTCTCCTGAGATTAACTCTCTGACGGAGGACACATACAGCATCTGCAGAGCTGAGTTCTATCTGACTCTGCCTCTTGGCTGCACCTTGGAGCCCAGGTCTAGAGACCGCAGAGGGTTCAGCGGACGAGGGGCAGTAGGTAAAAGGGTAGTTCTGGGCCCTCATGGTGGGCAGAAAGAGATGTGCTGCTGACCTGTGCTCATTGTGTGGCCAGAAGACCTCACCAGCCCCACAACTTGAGTGCAATTCAATGAGGCCAGAGTGTTTACTCCTATTGTTTCATTGCTGCTTTAAATCTACACAGCAACCAACCAAACAGCATTAAAACCAGTTGCTTCTGGGGCTGGTATGTGGGTTTTCTTTCATTTTGCATGGAAAATACGTGATGAGTATTTTCAAACTTGACTGCTGAGGCATACAGTGCAGTAATTAAAATTCATCAGCCTGAGGGAGAGGGGATGCCTAAAGATAATGTCTGGCAGACTCCTAGCTCTTGTGGCATGGCCTTGGGCACCATGGGATGCTGGATAGTGTAGGTTGGGAATCAGAATCCGGCCTTCCCACCATGACTTGTGGTGTTTATTCTTTCACTTTGGGCAGGTCCCTTCCAGGTCCGATCCTCAGTTGCTTGACCTAGAAAAGAGGATGACAGGAAGAGTATTAAAACTCCTTGTCCCCTCTATGAACAAAATGTAAAGCCAATTCCCAGGATAGTAGGAGCTGTTCAGGCAGGGATAGTGCCGTGGTGATATTCTTACCCAGGAAACACCAAAACCTCAACATAATCCAAGAAATAATGATGGAAATTAATGACCACTGTCCTACAAGAAGCTTTTGGCATACAAGAGTTCCCCCACCCTGAAACTCTTCTCCCACTCTTCTTTCTCCCATAAACATCACTTCCTCAGTGAAGCTTTCTCTGCTTTGTCGAACACCATTGCCTACCTGCCTTAGCCCCTCAGTGGCTACCTATGGTTTATTCCATGGAACTGATTAATCACTGGGGTAGTCTCACTTCCTGTGCATCCTCACAGAAGACTGAAGCAGTCCTCTTTCCATTGCATCCCACCTCTCACCCATCACAGCCAGAACACTGCCTTCATACAAATCAGAGAAAGAGAGTCCTTCCTCAAGACCCTGCCCTGCCCCTTGCTGGAAGACTGTCACCATGAGCTTATACACCTCTGACCCCTGTGGAGCGAGTAGTGCCCCCTGGGGGTGTACAGTGCAGCTTCTGCTTAGCGAACGAAGCCTCATTTTATCAGAAGCTGCCCTGTGAGAAGAGCCACGGGTATGGTCCGGTAAGAGCATAAGGGGTTTCAGGGACTGAATGCCCCATTTTCTTTCAAAGGCCATGAGACAAAAGCCATGCTGAACAACAGCGGCCCCCGGTACAAGCGCAGCAAGATTGAGCGCCGAATGAACACGGACGTCTTCTTCTGCATTGGGATCCTCTTCCTCATGTGCCTCTGTGGAGCCATAGGTATGGAATATGCCGGGGGCAAAAACATGTCGTGATGCCATTGTCTCTTCAGATAATTTGCTTTAATTCTCTGAGCCTCAGTTTCCACCTCTATAAAATGGGACTAAGGAGAGATACAGGAATAGGATGCCATGGAGGGAAACTCAAGCAAAGCCTCCTGAAAGTAGTATACCCTCTATATGTTAGGAATGTCACCTATACATTATCTGACCATGGAAGGACAGAAAGGTGGAGAGCAGTATAGAGGGGAAGAGCGAAAAGGTGTGAAGAGACATGAAAGCACAATCCTTCCCTCTTGACAAGGGGCCGCAGATTGGTACCAATGAGCTTTGTGTTGTTGCTGGAAAAAATTAGCACAAACTGGCTCACAGCAGCACAGATGGCCAGGCTACTCCTGGAGGCTGAAACCAAAGGACTGCAAGTTAGAGGGCAGCCTGGGCAGCTGAGCCACTTAACAAGACCCTGCCTCCAAACAAAAAAAAAAGACTGTGGTTGTAGCTCATTGTAAAAGTGCAGGGTTCAATTCCCGGTATCAAAAAAATAAAAGAAAAGAAAAAACAGAAGTACACATTTATTCTGGTACAGCTCTGGAAGTGAGAAGCCCCGAATCCATTTCTCTAGGTTAGGATTAACATACGAGCAGGCTGGTTTTCTCCTACCCTTGTGCATAAATCTAAGGACAATTCACAGGATGCTAAAGGAGAATCCAAGAGGAACCGAGGAGGAAATCACACTGAATTCCCCACCTTCAGAACATAACCAGTGAGCAGCACTGCCTTAGAATGACAGCATCACTTCTTTAGCAAGATCATATCTGAAAGCCAGAGGTAATGCAGGGCTCAGAACTGTCAGGCGTGTGCCACAGTGACTGACCACAGGGGACTTTGTCTCAAAGACGGCCTGAAGTTTTTGCCTCATATACTTTCCAGATGAGCGTAAGCAACAGCATGAGGCAGACATCAGCAGAGACCACTGGGCTTATGTCAAGGCAACAAGGTGTGGAATTTATTGTGCATGAGTGCAGGCAGACAGAGGACAAAAAGATTGTATGGAGAGAACAAAGAGAATCAGACTTTTTTATAGGGCTTGTCAGAAGACAAGGGACATTAGGGGCAAGATCTTAGTAAGCATCAGTGGTCAGAATCTTCTGGGTGTCTTGTGCCTCAGTGGGCCAAGTGCTTGAGGCATCCAGTGTAAGTGTTTGGGTGTCATCAGATGTCTCCAGAAGATCCCAGGTTCCATCTTAGCTCTTTAAGGATGTCCTCTGTTTGCCAAGGGCACCAAGCTCTGAGTTAAGAAAAATGCCTCTGCCAGCAGACAGGTGGGCACTAGGAGAGTCTCATCTGAATTGAGCCTTACAATGAGTCTAGCAATATTCCAGGTGAGGATAGCCCACAGGTGTACAGAGAGCACCCAGGGTGGGAGGGAGAGGCCCCAAGAAGGCAGCCATCATCCACTGCCACCCACAAGGGCCACTGCAGAACTGTTTGTTGCCTCTGCCATGGGACAGGTGTTCCAGCTAGGTCAAAGCTGAAAGGACCATTGAGATCCTCTTCAAAGAAAGTTAAGGATTAAAAGGCCACACAGAGAGACAAGGCAACGACAGCCTAAATTAGCTTGGCAGATTTCCCAAAACAATAATCAGACAGAGTTCATAGAGGAGGGGTCAGAAGTCTATACAAGAATAACAACTCCTACATCAAGCAGGATTCTGTTGGTGCCTCATGAAAGCAGAGCCCTGGAGGAGAAAAAAAGGTCTCCAGTGAGACCCAGTCGCACTCAGGGTTCTTTACACATTTACTTTAATTTTGTAAGAATGGTGTTTCTTTTTTCTTTGCTCCAGGTATCCTCTTCTGGCCTGAGTTCTCTCCCCAACCCCATCATCAGCCCATCTCCAGACTCCTCAAGTCCTCCTCCCCTTCTCCTACTTTTCCTTCTCCCTACCCCCTCCTCTTCCTTGCAGACTTCTCTGGCTTTACCCATGTCCTTCACTTGCTCTTCTGGTGTCAAGGGACCCTTAGGTTGTGCCAAGTCATCTGTTCTATATCACCTTCAGATAGCGTCTGAAAGTCTCCTTCTTCCTGCCACGTGCAATGGCACTTGGCCCAATCTTCTGGGCAAAGACGTGCCACTGGGTTGGGCATCATCACACTCAAGGCTTGCTGTTCCTTAGAGTTCCTTCCCTGGAGCTGAGAGCATTCTACACTAGAGTACTCTCCCCTCACTGTCATCAGATGGAGCGAGTGTTATTGCTAATTAATAGATGAGGACCCTGAGGTTTAGGAAGCTCAGTGGCAGAGGCCGAATACACTTTATCTTGCATGATCTACAGGTAGCAAGTATTGTCAGCCCCTCTGCAGAGGCAGAAACAGTGTTCCCTATGTAACAGACTTTATCAAAATATAAGCAATCCCTATTCTAATCTCCTCTGGTAAAATACATTTAATGACCATCATTCAATCAATTGATCAAAGTATAGAATACAGAAAGGACCATGGTAAAGCCAGCAGACAGTCACACCTGAGTTGGATAGAGGAAGGATGGGTCCTCCAGAGCACACCCACTTCCAGAAAGAGGTCAGGGGAAGATGTACCTAAGCATCTTTAAAGGAAGTTTGATCTCACCCCCAGCTCCTCTTCTTCCCAGGTCACAGCCTCTGGAACAGGACCTTTGAAGAACACCCTCCCTTTGATGTGCCCGATGCCGATGGCAACTTCCTTCCCCCGGCCCTAGGGGGCTTCTACATGTTCCTCACCATGATCATCCTGCTCCAGGTAGGAAGCCTTCCCAACCCCTGCAGCTTTGAAAACTAAGAAAAGGCAACACTGGCTCCAAGAAGGAAGTAACTGACTTTGATGAAGAGGTGGTTCCTGGGTTCTTACAGGTCTTTGTAAGTGTTCACATTGGTGGTCTCCCTGCCTTGGAAAGAGAACCCAGCCCTTCAGATACAGCTGGAGGAAAAAGGTGATCAGGTTTTGCAGCTGAAGAGCAAGTTTACGACTGTGAGCCACTTGTGCTTTCCCTGTGCCCAGTACAGAACAAGCAGGATGCTAATGACCTAGGATCAAAAGAAGATGAAGTAGTACAGAGGGTTACAGAGAACCCACAGCTCAAGCACTGAGAAACATACAAAGCAACTTAGTGTTTTATCATTCCCATAGGTTGAGGTGGTAAAGAACAGAATAGGAGAAGAAACAAAACAGAATACCAACAGAATCTAAAGGATAAAGCAACGCATGTTGTTACATCTTCATGCTCTGCAAGAAAATAGTCTATATAAAAGATGAGAGAAGTCGTAGTTTTGCTTTGATGAGATTCCAGCTAGATTAAAGTTCTTGTGGTGTTTGAAGGTATTTCAGTTTCCCATTAAAGATTAGGTATTTTCAAGCATTTGGTCATTCATTTAGCCAATTAATTATTTTTAAAAGTCAGAGCATAATTGGCCTCAGCAGAGACTCGGTTGGTAATTTTGTATCGCTCAAAATGAAAGCCAAAGTCCTTGCACACAGCCAACTAAGTGACTCCGACTCTGACCTGACCCTGACCCCACCTTCCGCCTCTCTCTTCCTCCTAGCTCAGGTACAAAGCTTGTTCTCTGTTCCAGGTGCTCAGACATGCAGGCCACTCCCACTACCAGGAACTCCCCGCCCACAGATAACCTCTTACCCCCATTTCTTCACTCCCTGCTCAAAGGTCCTGGTCTATAAAAAAAGTCCCTCCCACCCATGTGCTTTACCCTCTTCCTTTATTCTCTGTCATGAGGCTTACCGCCATCCCACATGGATTTGTTTATTTATTGTCACTGAAACCAATGTGAACTCTTTAAGGCTAGAGATTTTGTTTCTGGTGACTCCAAGTGTTCAAACAGCATCCAAGACAAAGAAAGCACTGGATAAAGGTTAGGTATTGGATTGATGGACAGCAATCAGCAATGAGTGGGATTTCCTGTGAAAGTGGGTGGTGGGCTCTCCATGCACAGCTCTGGAGGTGGAGGGAGATTCCAGGTAGAAGCACTAACGCTCTCTCATTGACAGTAACATTTATATTACCAGTGATGAGTGACTGTCGCATCCAGACATCCCAAATTGAAGGACACGTCTCTTTCAGTTTCACCCCAAGAAAATGTCAAGGACAATGTGACCTTTAACTGACCTTTAATTTCTCAGAAAGAGTACTTCCTGTGAACCAATCTCCACTTTTAATCAAATGCCTTTGCCACTCAGGAGAGCCCAGAAGCACAGAATTCACCTGGTTGCTGATGTAGTGGTATCTATGTCCTCCTAGGTGTTGATCCCGATCTCTTTGTATGTGTCTATTGAGCTGGTGAAGCTTGGGCAAGTTTTCTTTCTGCACAATGACCTTGACCTGTATGATGAAGAGTCTGATCTGCCTATTCAGTGTCGAGCCCTCAACATCACAGAGGATCTGGGCCAGATCCAGTACATCTTCTCTGACAAGACAGGAACCCTAACAGAGAACAAGATGGTCTTCCGGCGTTGCACCATCATGGGCAGCGAGTATTGTCACCAAGAAAATGGTACGAGGTCTCCTGTGCACCTCCCTAGCTATAAAAGAGAAATGACCTTTTCTCCTTAAAAAAGATGCCCCAGTCTTCCCATGTAGCCTGTGGGGTGTCCTATCAAGTAACTTCCTATAACCCAGTCTTCCTTGTCACAGAACGATGCTGTTCTTACCACCTCTAAATTTGTACTGGGACCCCCTTGTCTGGTAGCATTTTCAAAAGAGGAAGATTAGGTCTGCACTGGGGACTATGGGGCACCCAGTCCATAGCCAAATCTTAGGAATTCCACAGGTCACCTAACCTGACAGATCAGGGTAGGTCTAGATCGAGGCACCTGGTCAGCTTTGCACTAGAAAATGCCTTCCATGCTAACTGGTGTCTTAGATTGTTCACTCAGGCAACATTTTGATTTAGGAGATAGGGCCATAAGATGCCTGGACTGTCATAGTACAGGGACTGAAGGTGGCTCATAAAACTCACTTGATTCCTCCAGACACCCTATACACACAGAGACAGACAGACAGACAGACAGACAGACAGACAGACAGACAGACAGACAGACAGACAGAGAGAACCCACAGAAGATCATCTGTTCTTTTGGTTAAAAGATAGGGAGGTAGAGAAAGGAAGAGCTCATAAGCAGCCATGCCCCTTTGCCATGGTGATCATTTGCTGTTTTTGTGGAAGCTTTGAATCTCTTTTTAATAATAACAGCTACTATTACCTGTACTTACGCTAATCACTTCCATACATTATATCATTAAATGTTCAAAACAATCCTATGAGGTATTTTTTCCATAAACTCTGACTGAGGAAATAGACACAGATGACATCATAGCTGAGAGTCCTATACCTAGATGGTAACGGGGCCTGGATGTGAATCTGTGGGACTGATCTGCACCCTCTTCTCCCACCCTGGTAGCCCAGGTAGCCCAGTCACCAGTTTTCCACAGCAGCACAGATCCCCCCTAAGCCCTTCCCCTTGCACCACAGTCTAGCATCTTCCTAAGCACTGTCTTACAAGGCATGACCATGCTTTTCTCACAGCCAAGCGCCTGGAGACCCTAAAAGAGGTGGACTCAGACAGCGAAGAGTGGGCCCAGTACCAGTGCCTGTCATTCCCAGCGAGACGCACCCAGAGGCCCTCAACCATGAGAAGCCAAGGAGGTGCCCAGCCTCTGAGGAGGAGTCAGAGTGCCCGGGTGCCCATCCAGGGCCACTCCCGGCAGAGGTCTGTAGGGTACTGTGACAGTGTACAGCCGCCTGTGGCCTTCAGCAGCTCCATAGTAAGTTCTATCCTTCTTCTTTGAATGGCAAGTGTCTTATTGTGGGCAGAGAGGGAAGAGGAAGCTGGGCTGTGGGCAAGACCTCAGAAGCTCTGACAAGCTCTCCAAAAGGCAGCTCGTGGTCTTGAATGGGGTCCAGAGAGGAGTTTTGTCAATATGGACAGTTCTTGTCCTTTCAAATGGTCAATGGTTGGAGACTGGGAGATTTCTTGCTTTCCTTTTTTAAATGGAATTGAGAAAATTATCCACATGAAACAAGTGTTTCCTCATGGCACCAACTGGGGTACATGCAGGAGCTCGCATCACGTGGCCCAGGTGCCTGTGCTCAGGTCTTCACAAACTTCCTCAGTGCTCTGGTGGTGTCCCTGGGGAGCTGGAAGCCAGCAGCACTCCTATGACGTGCTTTCCCACTGATACAGGTAAGAGAAACAAGAAGTAATTGTTAGCCCCATGTTTTTAATCACATGGGAAGAAAAGTGATAAGGATGTAAGATTTGTGCATTTTGAGAAAAGTGAAATGATAAATTTGGGGTAGACACATTGGCCAAGCAATGGCCGTGACTCATCCACATGGCTGACACTGACAAAGGTTCTACAATCTGCGGTACAGGATCTCAGGGTAAATCCTGAGGGGATTTCACTGAGTCCAAAAGCTACAACTTTTGTTGCATAGGTCCTGCTTTACCTTGGTCTTAACCATCTAGCAGAAAAGTATAAAAACAAAATATAAGAAATAAAGCCATGGTGTTATGTTGAGCTGTAGAGGACTCATGTCAACAATTTCTGACATTGCCAGTCAAGCGGAAGACCCAATACTATTATGGACTACTGGATGCTTTTAGAATAGTTTGCTGAGTTAATACACTTATAATATTCAAATGACAGAACTAAACAAAAAAGGGGATACAGACAAATGTGCATTTTGTATCTGTGTATTCAAAATGGTTAGGATAGATATATAGTTACATTCTCTTAATGAATAAAGGAATTTGTTCTAATGGTGTTTGTAAATAGGATATCATGTCTGCATCTTGTACAGCAAATAACCACTAGGAAGACAGTATGCAATGTGTTAATTATTGGAACTGTCCTACCAATTTGATTTGAAACTGTCTCATTGCTATTTCTCAATAAAATTACACAAGAAAAAAATTGGGGGTAGAAATTTAAAAATAAATCTTAAAGAGTGATAAAGTCACAAAAAAAAAGTCTCTGTCAGAATTGCCCCACCCACTTCTTTCTCTTAGGTCAGTGTCTGGCCCCTGTGAGCATTTGGGTGTGTGCACCTGGTCTAGGGCTTTCTGCCAAGGTCTCTTCACACTGGGTCCCTCGTCACAGCCATCAGTAAGGAGCCAGGTAGCAAATGAAGATACTGAGCTCTGCCCCCTATGAACAGCAACCCCTAAAAACCAATAACCGAGGTGTCTGAGGCCCTTCCTGACACCCTATTGTCTAAGCATGCTCTTTCTCCAAGGGTCACTAAAACACAGCATCTGGAATCTTCTGCACTCAGAAAATGCCAGAGAGCCCTAGAAGAGCTGCTGGCTAACCAATGGTCTCTGAAGAGCTATGGTTCCATTATTAAAATGTTAAATTCTAAAAATGAACCTTTTCATCCTTTCTCTCCTGATGCACATGAAACTACTTATATTTAATTTTTTTTTTTGCAATCGTGGTAGGTAGTAATTATAAATACCAGAGTTTTTTCTATATAATGTGATATTTAAAATATTTTTATATTGTTATCTGGTTTTCATAGCCCAGGTCTGTGTTTCCTAACTGTAATGAAAAAAGTTTTTGAGTCGTGTTTGGGATTGTTACTCATCTAACTTGAAGGACTCACTGGATTCTCTGGTATTATCCTTATGCACAGAGGTGCAGCATTAGCAAGAACATGGAACAACATATTAGGATGAATGTCCTCAAAACACAGCAGGGATGTGATCCGTAGATGTCCCTGGGAAGATTATATTGGGTGCTTCTACTTTTCTTTTTTAATCTTCTCTACTGGCATAAACATACACACACAGAGTCATAGTTCTCTTCTTTAATCCTTTCCTTCTAAATGGAATTCTTTCCCCTCAACAATGTACCCAATTATTTTGAAAATGAATTAAGAGCATTCTCATTAGACATAGATGCTATATATCTTGTAATATCTTCTAATAGGTATCATTAGCATCTAATGTGCAAGCCAAAGGACAAAGATTTTCTTGAGGTCACACCAGTACACTGCCCCTTGTTCAGTTCACTAATCACAGGAGCCCTGAGCCAGGGACTATGCATGCGGTGAAGTGATGTTTGGGGGTGGGGGCAATGCACAAAGCCCTGAGCTATCTCTAGACCCAGGACATCACTGTACTGCCCAGCTGGCACTTTCAAAAGCAAATTCTAACTTCACTCAGGAGCAATAGAAAAGCTGACACATGACTTAAGTCTCAATTCTCATAGGCTGGACAAGTGGAGGTAGTGACCTGTCCTTCCTACAAACAACACACTGTTGTGTAGTGAGGTTGCTTGGCAGTCAGGGCTTAGTAGTATGATAGCATCCTTGAGTGTTTGTTTAGGAACAGACTGGGCTAAAAGTGAGGAGGGGTAGGTTCTGGCATTAGCTCTGTGACTGGCTTTTTATATAACCACAGGCAATGCAGTAAACCTTTCTATTCCTTCTTCATCTCCAGAAAATACTTAAAGTTCTCATAAGGCTTTTTTAAAAAATATATCAGATAATGTTCACATTGATGTGCCAGACACTTGCTACCTGGAATGAGGTACTGAAGCTCCATGCACCGTAACTTAGTTTCTTGACTCTGCTCGGCGTACTGAATGGGGAACCTCAATTTCCTCATCATGAAAACTAGGATAATTGTTCTGGCTCCTGAGTTTATGAGGATTTAATTCTTGAAATTATATTTTCTAGACAGATCACTAAAAGTGGTTTGAAATAATCTTGCTAAAAAGAACCTGACTGCCTTCAACAGACCTTTGTACAGCTGATGGCATGGAAGGGAACTGCCAAGTTCTCATTGAGTACAAGGGTAGAGCTCTCTCACCTGCTGAGATTCGGTATATTTGGTCTAGAGTGGGGTGAGAGCATTTGTAGTTTTATTTCCTGAAATTCTAATGGGCAGCCAAGACTAAGAGCCTCTCTAAGAGGACCATCAGCTATCAGAAACTAGTGTTGGGGTTGGGGAGATGGCTCAGTAGAAAAAGCACTTCCCTGGCAAGTGCAAGGGTCTGAGTTCAATCCCTGGTTCTGCAAAAAAAAGACAAAAACAAAAACAAAAAACTAGTGTTCATGTGGCTCCCAGAGGTACACATGAAGCTCAAGAGGCTTTGGCACGGGGCCTGAATTTGGCTGCCTGCTGGGGCTGACAGGGGCCGACCTGAGAAGGATCTCCAGGTGAGGCAGATGATCCCTGCAGTGGTTTATGGATCCTTCTCTGCAGCCCCTGGGGGAATGTGGGGGTCTTCGCACTCTTGGCCCTGCCTGGGTCCTCCTCCTCCTGCCTTCAGTGCCTCGCTCTGCCTGCTCATCTGTCCTCTGGTCTGGTTTGATGGTCTCTCAGATCCACATGTTCTCTACTGTCCCTTTGTGACCTGTGTCACAATATTCATCTGAAACCCTCAGGCACCAGATTGTGCATCTGAAACCCCTGGTAAACATCCCACAAAGTTCCCAAGAAACTGGTCATCAGTTTCCCTGGCTCTTTGGTCTGAGCCAAAACTAAACCAAGAATCCACAGTAACAACAACACTCAAAGCTCTTTTTTTTTTTTTAACTAAAAAAGACAAGGAAGCATCAGCGATTATGTTCTAATTGCCTATAAAACCTGTGACTTAGGGCTTTTAGCTCTGAAGCCCACATGACCTCATGATAGCTATCTATTCTTTTCCATCTTTTTTCTTCAAATAAATCATCTTTGTTGTGCTAAAAAAATAAAAAAGTGAACTGTGACTTTAAGGTGGGCCATATACTTACAGAAACTGTGAGCTCTGAGAGATGGGAGATGAAATGCCTTTGTTTCCCTGGTTTAAGCAGCCAAGATCTGAGCAGCCAAGACCTTGGTTTAGAAGGGCCAGTTGTGCACCATGTTTTCCAAGACCACAGACCAAGAATGCCTCTGTAACCGGGAAAGTTGCAGTCAGCCTGGGTAAGAGTTGACCTACCACCACATCCTAGGGGGACCTGCTGTCCTTGGTAGACAGCACCATGGCAGGAATGAGGGAGGTGTTACTGGCCGCTGGCCTCTTCTCCTGAATGCTGGCCTGCCTTCTTGCCTTTGGAAAAGAATGCCACAGCCCTCCAAGATAGCTGGGTCAAGCCACACACACCTCCCACTGTGAGGTTAGCTAAGAGTCCTGATTTAATCAGCAGCACATAAATCTGTCCCAGAGTGATGTGGTGACACAGGGCAAGCACAGAACAAGGGAGGCCTCTTAGCTGTGCTTCCTTTGGGTACCAAATAAGATGGTGGCACATAGTCACAGTGACACTGCTTACAGCAGTTCATGTCTGACAAGATGGACAACCCACCGAGAATTCTCTTTGGAGTGGCATCCCACTTGGGGAAAGCTTGCCCTAATAATCTGCATGCTATTTTAGTAAATATGTATGAACATTCAGTTTCCCCTGTTCTCTATCCAAACTATGTATCATCAAGACCCCAGTGTTAACCAAGGAACAAAAATCGCTGCCCTGAACCTTTCAGCATCCACCTCCCCAGAAACCAGGGCCATCTGTTTCAACAGTATAACACAACCATAAGATTAAGATTAGGAGAGTGAAGGGCTGAATGGTACAGTGGAAAAGTCCTGCCTCTGCTCCTCAATTCTAGAGGTAAGATCAGCAGCAGATTCTCAAAGCACACACGTGATCTCCATATAAGTCCATCCTTTGCCCAGATGAAAGTGTATCTTACAAAGTGCTTAATTTTGCTTGTATAAAAAATTTAATCTTGGAAAAAATTTACTCATGGAGAATATTTCCTACATGTAGATGGACAGAAAGGCAGAGTCAATAAAGAGCTGCAGAATTTTTTTTTTTGTTAGAATTTGTTGAATGGATGAACCATCGAGGGTTTATGCATGTGTGTGAATTTTTCACAGTATTAATTCTTAGAGCATAGTTACCAAACTGGAAAACATGTGAAGCTTTTACATTTTAATCTATTTTTTCCAAAACATTGTACCAATTGAGACATTCTCTAAGAACAATTAGAAGGACCTGTTTCTTCCCTCCTTTGTTCATTTATGTATGGTCAGTTGTCTATATGTCCCTAGGATGACTTCCACATGCTTAGTCAACCAACAACCAAGTAAGCATCTGCTCTGCACTAGACAGGGGAAATATGCTGGCTAATAGAGCATCGCCACTGACTTCTGGACCTTACAGCCCAGGGAAAATGGTGAAAAACACCACAACTACAGAGCTGCACTGTCTTCTGGGACAGTGGACGCAGCCCTGCTGTGAGAGCACAACAGAGGTGAGGCTGCAACTCTGCTTAGAGAGACAAGATTAAAAGTCAACTCAAGGAAGCCTTTCCCTTGGAAGGGGATGGAGAGCATAGGTTATTGCAAGAGGAGACAATCTGTACAAGAATTGGGGTTTGTAGGAGCATTTGGAATTAAAGATACAAGTCTAGGAGGGGTGAAGGAGGTGCAGATGTAACAGGCACCATGCTACAAGGTGGCAATATCCTTTATTTCTATGATGGGCTCTGTGGGCTCCTATTGCGACAAGATGCTGTACTCAGCCAGCGACTTATCATTAAAACTGAGAGAAGAGCAGAGTGGAGTTTGGCCTACTTCCCCAGCCCTCAGCACAGGAACGCTTCTCAGCCAGGAGAGAAGGGAGACCCACAGGGCAGGCTGGTGGCACAGACCCCTGCTGCTCAATCTCTGGGTCTTGGTCCGGTAACACAAGTACCACTTGTGATCTTATTACAAGTGCAGGCAGTCAAGCCCTCCCCCATGGCTGTTGAATTAGCATCTACATTCAGACATTGCAGCAGGCAGAACTAAGTTTGAGTGCCAGCATATTATTTGAGATTTTTGATCTTATGCAAATTCCTCAGTGTGCTTCATTTGCCTCCTAGTTAAAGTGGGAGGACGGCAGCAACTATATGCATGCTTTAGACTCATGTGATTTACAACCAGCACTGGCTGAAGGGCCTTACTTTGCTCCACCTCCTCAGAAAATGCATTAAGATACTAAAAGCGCCAATCGTGAGTGACAATGTCATCCTCCCCAAAGAGGGTTGTTATGAAATGTAAGCGTCATCCTGGCAGCCACAAGCTCTAACCTGATTAACTAATTGGTGGCCCCATCACTTTATATCTCTTTTCCTTCAGAGAAACAGACTAGCCAAAGAGCCAGCAGTGGGAAGAGGCACGGCTTTTATCAAACACTCTAGTGAGTTCCTACATATTAATGGAGCAGAAGGGGCTGTGAAGTGTGAGCGGGAGCAGAAGGGGCTGTGAAGAACCCTGCCCTGCAGAGGCAGGGCTGCAGGGACTTGGTGCAGGTTGAGTGATATCTGTTCCCAGCACCCACAGGCTGGGGCTGCTGATGCAGAAAAAAACAGGCCCTGCACGAAGGAGCCTTTTTTTATGCACTGCTATATAATTTGGTGGAAATATATTAAATAATAACTTTAACAAAGATACATCAGTGGTCAGGGAGCCTCATAACCTAAAACAGTCAGTCAATGAGTTTTTTGAGTGTCTGCAACCTGCCAAGCACCAGAAACATAGCAGAGGCAGTCCCTGCCCTTGTGATCCTTACAGACTAGCAGGTGAAAGGTTGCGAAGTCAATTATTGTTAGCTGTGTCACCATTTGGAAACACATACTGATAATATATAACTTGGGGCACAGTGGCATGTGCTGTAAAAGGCTGAAAGTTGGAAGCAAGGACATCCTGGGTCTGACCCTGAGTTAGTGCATGGTCTCAAGCCGTTCCTTCCCACCTGTCCAGGATTTAGTTTCACCCGGACTCAGATTTGGCCTGCAGGCTTGTTCCCCACTGCTGGGTATCTGCAGTAAGGCTTAGCAGCTTCCTATTCATACACTCCACTCCATGAGCTCATGCTCTGTGACTGTATTATTCAAGCCCAACCACTGTGTCTGAGATGTTGGCCCCCATAGACTCTGGCCATCAGCCAGTCTCAAAAGCCACTCCCTTCTCATGGAGGACCCAGCCTGGCATGAGAGTTAAGAGCCAGAATTCTAGAATTCCTCCCAACTGCTGAGGTCCACCCAATGGCATCTCTCCCATTTATTGTGTCACTTTGGGTCACACACTTAACTTCCCTGGGCATCACTTTCAGAGTTAATGTGTGCGTGGGTGAGGGGTTGTTGATAACATCCAACAAACAGTGAGAAATGGGTAAGCTTGGGACATAAATACTGAACAGAAGTTCTCCCGACTGTAAGGAATGTGCTTCTTGTTCCTTGGGTAGTGCTGGTGGACTGATTAGAGGTACTGGCTCTGAAATCTGATGAAAACACTCTTCACAGGAATATTAACAAGACACAGTCCTGCAACCACAGGAAAGAGAGCCCTGTGATGGCAATCCACAGGTCTGAGCTCTGATTCTGACCTAATACCAACTCACTGGGTGACACTGGTCAAATTAGCCCATCTTTCCGTGTTTTAGCTAAGTTGGCATTAGCTAAGTTTACCTCAAATGGAACTGTGAGAACCCAGTGAAGCCACATGAACGATATTGCTTGGGAAGGTAGGAAGAGCTTCATGAATATGAGCCCCCATTATGAAAGCTATAGCAAAAAGTAGAGAGGGCATTGCGTGCACCCTGCCCACATTTTCTGAAAATTATGATGCCACATGGCATGGATAGTTCATCACTGCTTATAGAAAGTGGAGAGAAGTGCAGACCTGATATTTTACTATCATGGTCCCTTTTGGTAAGTAGGACCTTTCCTAGGATTTATTCTCTTAAGAAGAGTGAACAAGTTCAGGTGTGTGTGTAGACTCTGGACATGCACCCAACTTGGATGTGGCCCTTGACAAGGGTTCTACTTCTATCAAATGCCTATGACTAGGCTCCTCCCTCTCTTACCTGCCCCAGAATCTCCTAGGAGAATGGAATCAAACTTCTGAAATCACTCTATATAGTCTTTCAGTAGTTAGAAAGGTTAGGATACTTCACCCATTGGGATTTTAGGGTCTCAACTTGAGTTCTTAGTTGTAATTCATTGGATCCCAGTCTTCCCCTTCCCTAACCACTTAACCTACTGAGATTCCCTCGATCTGTTCTTTTCAACCACTAGCTCTCTCCTAAACTTTACTTTAACTGTAAATTCTGAATCCAGATAGGAGTACTCTTAGGTGGAAGCTTCTCTGTAAAATGAGTTTGTTATATCTCTCTAGTGAGAGTAAGTATTTGTTGAAATTCTACATCAAATAAAGCTGCAGTTAGAACCCTAGAGAACATAGCTGATGGAAGTCTAGATCTCTATCTTTGAAGTTCTTATCTTATCTCTGGAGAGATTAAGCATGGTCGTATAACTAAATTTCACAATGGGCCATGTATAGATAGCAGAAAAGAGGTGGACCAACCCAAACATTACTTACTGCTGCCACAACTGCCATCTCCTCCAACCATTCACCTCTAATTCTTGCTGGAGTTAAGCTATCCTGGCATTAGTTCTTGGTGAGGGACAGGGTAAGAGAGCAAAGGAGGAGGAAGAAAGAAGTCAGAAAGGGGAAAGATAGACAAAGAAAAAGATCCATATGCAGTGAATTCTAAAGGGACAGTTCAAGGGGCAACTTTGACAAAGATGTGAACAATTGAGTCAGATCCAGCCCAGAGAATTAAAAAAAAGGGAGAAAAAAAAAAAAGATAGGTGGCATATCATCTCTGTTTTGTCCTGAGAAGTCAGGGCACTTAACAGAGTGGCCCATCATCAGAGCACTGCACTAGGGAAAGCCAGCACCAGGCAGGAGCTGTATGACCTGCCCAATCCACAGCTCCCACCACCCCAACATCCTCATCTTTGCCTCCCCCACTTCCCTTGTTGATCTGCATGCTTGATGGTATGAACACTAAGTTTAAGAGCTTGCTAGTACGGTTCAGAAGAAAGAACTCATTGTGAGCTGGATAAAATTCAAGGTTAGGTGGGAATTCTCATGACTATTGCTATCTAGGTGGGATTTTGGTGGACAGGAGAGAATTTTCCAACCAAAGTGTGATGAGAAGCATGGTGTATGTACCTAGAAGGCAGAAAATGCTACAGAGTGATCTGAGGGTCCACATTGAAAAGTAGTGGGAGTAAAACTGCAAATGCAGTGTGTAAAAGAACCCAGATACCAGATAAATTGATCATTTGAATAGTAGACATTTAAAGATTTTTGAAGTCAAGGGTACCATGAAGAAAATGGAGCCTCAGGAAGACCACACAGGTCATGCATTAGAGTTAAGAAAAAAAGTGGAAAGAGCCAGCAACATTGGTTCAGAGGTTAGTGCAGAGGGCCAAGATGGAAGCCTAGAGGGTCTGCACATGTCTAGAGGTGGCTGGGATGGGCAGGATGGTGAGGGAAAGTGGAAAGAAGATCTCCTAAGGCCTGAGAGCCAGTCAATGCATGGACCTGGTTGACAAGTGGGAATCAAATAAGAATCATTAATATCACAGGCCTGTGGAGAAGGCAAATGTGCTGGAGGAAAGACTCCAGGGGATGTTCCTCCAGAAATGCCCACAGCCTGCTGGCGGAGGCTGCCCTTCCAGCCCCTTTAGACTCACTTGTCTCTTTCCCTTCCAGGAGAAAGACGTGACTCCAGATAAAAACCTACTGACCAAGGTGCGCGACGCTGCCCTGTGGCTGGAGACCTTGACAGAGGCCAAACCTGCCAAGCCTTCCCACTCCACCACCTCCTCCATTGCCGATTTTTTCCTTGCTCTAGCAATCTGCAACTCTGTGATGGTGTCCACAACTACTGAGCCAAGACAGAGGGTAAGGACCAGGGACGTTTGTGGGGGAGAGGGGAGGAGAGGCAGGGAAGAAGTGGTCGTATGGCATTTGGGTCCTGTCACGGTGTAACCATTTCATCACAGTGAAGCCTTGGATGGGTAGCTTCTCCTTTTCTGGTCTCCTCCCTCATTTTTAGATAAAATAGAAAATTTATACAAGAGCTCTCTGCAAAACTCCAAACCATGTCTATCTGCCTGCAGGGTAGATCCTAAGAGCGAGTGTTTCCTGAGCCGTTGGCTATGTGCCAGTCCCCGGACTAACAACTCCTCTCCATCATCATTTAATCCTCACAACCCAAAGTTTTGGTGAGCATGTCTTTGGAGTTAGCAAGTGAGGAAATAGACTGAAATCTTGAATATCTTAGCGCAAGAAGCCTGGCTAGCACAGGGCAGAGTCATCTCTGTGACTCCCAAATAGTTCCTAATAATATCATTTAATATTTGACTCTGCCTTTATATAAGGATTAGAAAATAATTTACATTACATGTACTGTTATTCCCATGGAAATACTGTAGGCAGATGGCCATTTAGGTGAATTTATACTTTGAAGTCTTGTGGACACCATCACAGAGTTACAAATGGTAGATCTGTCTTCAAGTGTCCACAATCTCTCAGCCAGGCTCCCTGATGAGAATAATTAAGTAGCACAACTTAGGGCTATAAAACAAGAAGAGACAAGTCACTCTGGCACTCAACCACAGCCTCCCCTTTTATGCCCAGTTTTAAAACCACCCTGAAGAGTCACTTCAGGCATAGAAAGGTCACCAAGTAATTAGAAGTTTTCAGGGAGACTATGAAGACAGGGAGCACTTTCTGAGAAATTAACTCTATTGTTGAGAAGGGAAGAAGTATCATTTTAGAAAAGATAACCTTGGCAGGCTAAATAGCTCAGCAGGGTTAGGGGGTTTGATCCCCTGGGCCTGCCTTGCTGGCCCTGCCCCTGGGGCACACTGAGACAGCAACTGAGACTGGGCATAGTGGCACACACCTGTAAGCTCAGCTCTTGGGAGACTGTAAACAGGCAGATCATTACGAGTGGGATCTAGTAGTGAGACCCTGAACACCCTATAGACCCTTCCCTAAAACACACACACAAAAAAAGAACCAGAAAACATAGCCTCCAATTCTCAACTTTCCAAAGTTAATGAAGGGGCTTAAACCTGAGGATTGCTTAAGAGTCTAATTTCTGGGGTAGGGCAGACCCAGACCTGAGCCAGCTTTGTTGCTTATACTCTGTGTGACAATAGCCAATTGACTTACCCTCTTGGTACTTTGGCCTCTTGTCCATAAATCAAAGTATCGACAGCATCCCAAAAGGTTGCTGGAAGGATGAAATGAAGCCTTCATACAAAGCTAAAAATAGGTGAGTATCCCATCAGGATGCAGGGAATGTGAACTCTAACTGTAAGTAGCTGACTTCTGCCTTTGGGCCTTTCTTGTGACCATAACTAATATGGGATGCTCAAAAAAACAGAGGAAATGGAACACTGTCAATCCCTAGAATGTCAGGCCTGGAGGACACATCTTCACTAACTCCCTCATTTATAGGCAGCTGAGGCCCACAGAAGAGACCTGGCCTGGCCACAGAAGGCCCACATACTCTGCTTACTGCAAAATTGCTTTCATGTTCTGCAAAAGCATCTCCAAACTTTAGAGTAACATTGTGCTTTCCTCCTTGACCCACAGGTCACCATCCCACCCCCTAACAAGGCTCTGGGGACATCCCTGGAGAAGATTCAGCAGCTCTTCCAGAGGCTAAAGCTAATGAGCCTCAGCCAGTCCTTCTCATCCACTGCGCCATCTGACACAGACCTGGGGGACAGTCTGGGGGCCAATGGGCCCATCACAGACTCGGATGAGAAAGACGACGCATCTGTGTGCAGTGGTGACTACTCCACCGACGGTGGTTATAGGAGCAGCACATGGGACCAGAACGACATCCTGGGGTCTGGGTCAGGTGCTTCCTCGGATGGAGTAATGGAGGCCCCAGACTTAGGCCTGGCCAAGCCTGAGCTCTGCTACGAGGCTGAGAGTCCCGACGAGGCAGCCCTGGTGCACGCTGCCCATGCCTACAGCTTCACACTGGTGTCCCGCACACCAGAGCAGGTTACCGTGCGCCTGCCCCAGGGCATCTGCCTCACCTTTGATGTCCTCTTCACCCTGGGCTTTGACTCAGTCAGAAAGAGAATGTCTGTGGTAGTGAGGCACCCACTGACCCGTGAGATTGTCATCTACACCAAGGGGGCCGACTCGACCATCATGGACCTGCTGGAAGACCCAGCCTGTGGTGAGTCCATCCTCACAGGGCTCCAGGAAAAGGGCTGGAGAGTTTGAGGTGCAGCATGGAAGGGTGACAAGGAGCTCCACTTAACATGGCATGGGGTACAGCAATTGTTCGCACCTGGAACACAGGCTCACAGGGTGCTTTCAGAGCAAGATCCCTAGCATGTGCTGCATTGTATATCATGACCTGAGGCCTCCCAGTGCTCGTTAGCAAGTTAAGGACACTGTACAGTCTTCTACTAGAGAAGCTTCTTCAACTTCACTTATCCCAGTCTCCACTTTTCCAAGCTCATTTACACATGGGCTATGCTCACACCATTTTTTGCACCTGAACACACCATAGCCTGACTCTTCACTTTGGATAGAAGCCGGCTCAAGCCAGCGAGAGCAGTGCCTTAGATAGCATAGATCATTTAGTGTTAAGTCCTCAGCGTAGGTATCCCGAATCCCAGTTCAGTGCCCATTGTTGCTGCCAGAATTCTACACTGGGCTCCATTCACTCTGGGAAGCCTCCAGTGTCCCTCTTTATCATCCTTTTCCCCAGCCTCCCCCAGATAGATTTTCATAAACTTGCACTGAGCCAGAAAAATGTTCCAAAGTTCCTACATATCAGAGTCCAATTTTGGAGCAGCATGAATTAGTTTGCAGCGGCTTCCTGATTGCTAACAAGAAGAAGACAGTTATGGGGCTATGATTCTCCCAGGATAGCAGATTCTAGCCAAGCTTTAGAATTGCCCGGGCAGCCCTGTGCCTCCTGCATTATCAGCTGTGGAGCAGGGCCAGGAGGTTTGCAGGGATTGATTAGTGTTTAGAATGGGAAGGGAGCTAATTAGTTCTCTTCATCCCCAGACACTGGCAGACAAGCGAATTCAGTGTGTCGGAGTCCAGGGCGCCACAGTGCTCTCTCTGGGCCACAGCCATCCAAGTGGCCCCGGAAGTGTTTCTTTATTTCCTCACCTCATTGCACAATGGATTGGGGATGGTTCCAATACAAGACGCATCCACAATGTTACTATAACAATCGAGAGGCAAATTTTTGAAAAATAGGGAAAACAATCCCAAGTCTAATATATTCTCATTCAGTTTGACTCTGAGATTCCTGGCAGCCTAAGCAAAAATGTAAATCCAAAAGCCCACAAGCAGAAGGCAAGAGTTTAGGAAATATGGAAATGGACAATGCTTAAGGCACCTGAAAGATGATACTATTTGAAAAGATTTTTTTCATTGTTTAAAAATAGTCTGGGAGTAGTTCATAAGAGAAAAACTAGTTTGTTGCATTCCCTTGTGCTCATCTCACTATTAAGAATTACATTTCTAATTCTGCACTGTAGGCAGAAACATGTGAGATGTACAAATTCTGTTTACTGCCAGGCCAGTGAAAGTCTCAGTCCAGTACTGGTAAGGGATTCCGAAGCTAATCCAAGCTCAGCTTCGCAGATGCTGCAATTGACAAGGGATGTCTGTGACAGGTTGATAAAACCTGCCTCATTCCCTGAAAGGTAAAAGTACTGGAACTGCAAGAAAACAAAACTAATTCTGAAAGAAATGTAGTGTGGAAACTTAACCAGAAGGACCTTAAGTAACACACTGACATATTTTTCACACCAGAGTTATAGGAAATAAAAAATATATATATTTCTTTCTAAGACCGTCTCTTATGTAGAAAGAAAGCCCAAGTCAGCAAACCCAAGAAGGCAAAGAATGTAACTAATGAGATCCACGTGTGTAGCTGTCCTGGGTCCAAGCTTGACACAAGAACTGATGGAAATGATAGGGTGATGCAGAGTCTAAGAGACCAGCCTCTAAGTCAGTTGACATCTGAGCTAAGCAGCAGCACTGAAAGTGGTAATAAAAATTTGGATATCTGGTCCTCTGATTCACCAGGGATTCTAATAGCACTTGAAAATCCCTGTTATTTCTGTTCCTGGGTGGTTTTCATACAAACACATGTTTGAGAGCCATACGTTAGACCACCTGCCTTTCTTAAACATCGCTTATTCCAGCTAGTTTTTTGATGAGATGATAAAAGAAGATAAGGACTCCTAGAATTAGTCACCTTCCAGGGCAAGCTGGCAGCCAGGAGCACTCTTCCCTGTTTCCAGGAATGGCTGTGAGGAAATGCCTCATGTAAAGCAGTCCTCATCTAGTGGGAAGAACCCAGATTACTGCGGAATAGGGATTCTTACCATTTGTGTACATGGCCTCATGGGAAACAATGACTATTTGACAGTCACTGACACTGACCTGGGAAAGAAGATGAAGAAAATTCAAGCCCGAACCCAGAAACATCTAGACTTGTATGCGAGAGACGGCCTGCGTACCCTGTGCATCGCCAAGAAGGTGAGGGACACTTCCTCTCAGCAGGCTGTGAGTAACTGGAGGCAGCTGAGTGGCCCCTGCCCTGCAGTAGGCCCTTTCTTCTTCTTCTTTATATAAGATCTTTAATATTCGTTATTTGAAAACTTGTAAGCTTTGCCATTCTGATACACCACAAAATTCCATAACCGTGACAAGCTTTCTGGAGCAGGAATCTGAGCAGTTAAGATCTCCTATTGCTGTGGCACTGTCACTCTGCACTTCTCATTGTGTGTCTAATGGAGAACCTGTAACTCATAATTTTCAATACTATCATTTTTGTCTTTGAAGTAGCCTTTTAAAATGTGTATTCTTTGCTGGTACTCTAATTGTGGGACTTTCTTTATGTAGTCATTTAAAAATCAAGATTTCTAGTTTCTCTAGAAAATCTAGAGATAAGTTACACTTGGTTCCGATGGAGTAGCATCAATTGTCCACAACCACATAGCAGTTGATTCCTTCCATGAAGGACACAGGGTCCGCTCAGCTGTATTCTGTTTCTGGTCTCAGCGCCTACAGTGCCTTGACCCAGCTAGAGTTGTACAAATTACCCATCTCATGCTCTGCAGATATTTGACTTTGCACTCCTGTGAGTGAAAGAGGTAGGAAGCAGGCTATAAATTGCCAGTCAGGGGCATGTGATGAGAAATGTACCATCGAATAGGAGTGCTGTGATGGGCATACATACTAGATGGCTAGAAGTGATTTCTTCTCCATAAATCCCTACGGCTCTTGGTCTCTTTTCTGTGTCTTAGTGCAGAATATAGATTGAGAGCACTCACGATAAAGCCACACCCACCTGGCACAACTCCAGTCTCTCACCACTCTTAGATGCATGGCATTAAGTATGTTCCTTTCCTCCCCGAGGTTTTGTTGCTGCTCCTATAAAATGGTGCTAATGGTTCCTGCCTCATAAAACAATAACCAAGGCAATACATGTATAGTACCTGGGACAGCAGCAAGTGCTTACTACTATCCTCTGAATTATATCCTTAGCACGCTCAAGTTTCCATTAAAGTTTCTATGCATATTTTCTCTCTCCCTTCCTCCAGTAAATTGTACATTCTTCCAAAGTAAAGGTATATGTGCCCCCTTGGCTTGCCCTCTAGTGTCATGCAGAGGGGCTCAAGGAATAGTTGGTACTTGGACAAAAAATAAAATGTACATAAAGTTAAGGGAAGGATCTCAAAATGGGGGTTGGGGGAACCTCCATTTGTGTGACACCATGCCTGGTGGAGACATCTGCAGGCTGTGTAAAATATGGCTGCACTTTCCTCTCCAGCACCTCCTGCCTTTTTACAATCCTTCCGCCAACTGACATTCAAGCAATGAAAAGAAAGCCAAGTTTGCTGCTGTTTCAGTCTTTGAGGTTGCTCTTCCCCCTGAATGATCCTTTCTCACCATGGGACTTTAGCTTGTCCACCACCTGTTGGTGAGAAAGGAACATCCAAAAGAAAGCATCATCCTCCTCCTCCAATTGTTCTCCTAGCCCCTTCTACTCCATTACATCATCCTTTGTATTACCTGCAAAGGACTTCTTGAAGTGATCTGGGTTTTTTCCTTCCTTACATGGCTAATGTCTGTCACCATCCACCAATTTATAAGCCTGAGGGTCCCAGGACCTTTTCTATCTCGATCATCTCCAGTGCCCTGAGCATAAGAGGGATTCAGCAGGTGTTTGATGGTGGTGCAACAGAACGAGCAAGATTTCATTGAGGTCTGCATTCAAATCCCCATCTAGTCATGGAGTAAGATCCAAACAGGCCATGAGACCCAGCTGGTGGGGAAGGAAGAGAAACTTGGCTTACAACTTACCCAAGGTTATTAATGAGTTTCTTCCCATTCTGCAGGTCATAAGTGAAGAGGACTTTCAGAGATGGGCCAGTTTCCGGCGCCAGGCTGAGGCATCCCTTGACAACCGAGATGAGCTTCTAATGGAGACAGCACAGCATCTGGAGAACCAACTCACCTTACTCGGTAGCTAAAAATAAGTCATCATCATGGGATGAAGAATGCTACAAGTTAAGGAAGTTCTTGGCCGTAGGTTGACACTGCTACAAATTTGTCTAGATTAGCTGCCTTCTCTGATTCAGTTCATAGGAATTTGGCATAAACAAGCCATAGCAATACTCAACCCAAGCTTCCTGAGGGAGTGCATCTGCGTTCCCTGCTGGAAGAAGTTCCTCTCCAATAGCACCTTACTCTGCTCTTTCAAATGTTTGCTGAACACCTATAACATGCATAGCACCATGCTAGCCTTTGGGACCTTAATGGGGGACAAGAGTCACAGACGCTGCTCTCCCAGAGCTCAGTCAAGTCAGGATGCTGGGTGATTAAGCAAGGATGGGAACTGGACTGGAAGAGAAGCATAGAGCAGGAAGTGCCAGCATGACCCTGGAGCCCAAGGCCTAGATGGCCACTCAATGAAAGGAGAACGAGAAGGGAGAGGGAGCATGTTCCAGGTAAAGAAAAACCCACATGAAGGCCCAGAGATGAAATCCTGGGCCATATAGAAAAACAAAGCTATGCTGTGACTAGACCACAGGGAGTAGGGGAGAGCTGATAGGAAGTGTGAGAGGCCAAGGCCACCCAGATTAGGAAGACCAATGTCAATCATGTGCTAAGTATCTGGAGAGCAGAAGGACATACTTCACAAAAATCATTGCTACATAGAAGGCAGTGTGACATCCTAGGGAAGGACAAGATGCACCGAGGGCAGTTAACAGCCAGCTTGTGTTTCTGTTGAAGCAAAGACATTAGAAAGGAGGAAGCGGGAGGCTTGGTTTAGCCGCACTAATCTCACACCTGGGGAACAGAACAAGGTCTTAGTAGGGCAGCGCCCAGTAACCTGCACTGGCAACACGGCAACAGCTTCCTTTCCTCCTGGGGTGGTGGCTCTGACCACAGGATGAGGGCCAGGTCTGAGCCCTGAAATGACTTGCTGTGTGCCTAGGAGCATGCCTCTGCACCCCTCTGAGCCTTAGCTTTTCTTCTGGGTGAATCATGCCCCTCGGATGCCCAGCGAGGCTGGAGTCTGAGGGCAGAGACCCCGGGCCACCATAAGATGGTACAGATAAAAGATAGCAACAAGATTTAGAAAGACCACTGGCAAGGAAGGGAAGAAATTCTGCTCCCTGCTGCCCCCCTCAACTTTCATTTCCTGCATCTTGGCGGCAGAGACCTCTGCTTGCTGCTGTATGTGCCCCTTCTAAAGCTCGACCTTAGAATCATTTTAACAATAGCCAGAGGGCAGCCAGGCCAGCCAACCCTGTCCACTGCTAAAGGCCACCCATGAAGGCACCTGCCCCCTCCTCAGGGAGGCTTCTTGGTTTGGGGTGACCCTCCAGTCTTGATTGGGGACAAGCATCTCAGCTGGCTCTGCTGAAACAACTCACTTGTTATCATCTGCCAACTTCCCCTGGCTGGCAAAGGCGACCACAGCCTTCCTGTTTCATTTTGTCTTTTGTACAAATAAATGTGTTTTTCCTCCTCTCTCCTTTGCTGTACTATAAATCGGGATCTGAATTTCACCTCCCAAGCTAACCCTGCAAGGGAAAGATGAGGTGTGACCTGTCACTCTTCCTGGGATTGTTTACCTGGCATTAAGGCCTGAGCTGCAAACCAAGCACATCTGGGGACAGAAGGGTTCTATTTTTCTCCTGAAGGTGACTTGGGAAGGTGGCTTAGGAAAAGATTCCTCTTGCCACCCCAAATGCTTCATTGCCTTCACGCTGAGTTTCAAAAATAAGAAATGATCTTTTCAATATGCATCCAGTGTAGCTGCTTTGCCAACCTATTATCACTCTGGATTATTAAAAGAAACACAATGCCTTGCTCCTGCCCAGAGTGAAATGGGCAGCCATTAGTCTGTGGCCCGAAATGAATCTCATTTGAAATGCAGATTTATTTTTGCTTAATCACTTAGCAGCTATTCAATATTTGGGTATATATTCATCAGGGTTGATATAAAGCTTCAGATCATTCAAAATCAATGGCATCTGCATGTTTAATTCCCTCCAAGAAGATTATCAAAAATATGCACCCCTATTAATTCTGCTGCAATCAGCCGCAGAGCGCAGCGCTGTGCACCTCCTTTTCTCTTCTTGCTGCCTCCGTGCCCGTCCAGGTCCCCATCAGCCCTCCTCTGCACTCTTGCTCAGCTTCCCAAGTAGCTGTAAGCCCCAAAATGCCTCCTGCTTCCTGTCATCTCTAATCTAGTTTTTAGAATGATCTTCGAACACAAAACTGATCTACTCCCTCTCCAACTCAGCACCTTTTAATAGCTTTCTGTGCTACCAAATAAACTGCAAATCTCTCGAGGCCCCAGCAGAGCTCTGCACCACCTGCCAGTCCTCCCCTCCTTCTCTAGCCTCATCACTCAGTCCACTCTGCTTCTGTTCTATGGCTATGCCAGTCTTCCTGAGATTGTCCTCCTTCCTATCTCTGAGAGCGTCTCCTGACCTAGGCTTCTATGGCATTTCCTCTACAAGGCCCTCCTAGACCTAGGTGAAGCTCAGGCTCCATGATATCCACTCACATGGCATGTGGCTCTTTCTCACCCTGTACCTCGGTTGTACATCCCTATTCTGGGGCCTCTGGTGAGGCCTTGGGGAAGTTTAAAGCCTCAATTATGACCTGTGAAAAACAGCTTCTCAGAAATAACTTTCCTGGTGAGAAGGAACAATTCTTAGGCTCATTCAGTGACCTGGATAATCTGAGAGGGTATAGACCTGCTCTCTGTATCTCCAGATACAGTTGTATCCTGGGTACCTACCACAACCTACTACATGGAAGATAATTAATAAACATTGCCTGGCTTCACAGGACTTTGCTGGAATTAAGCAGCTACTCTTTTACCATAAATGTGAAACTCTGGTATCTCTGATTACTCCAGGAGCCACTGGGATCGAAGATCGGCTACAGGAGGGTGTTCCAGACACCATTGCTGCTCTACGCGAGGCTGGGATCCAGCTCTGGGTCTTGACAGGAGATAAGCAGGAGACGGCAGTCAATATCGCCTATTCCTGCAGACTCCTGAGTCAAACGGACACCGTTTATGCCATTAATACAGAGAGTCAGGTGAGGCCATCGTGGACAACCAAATGTCCAGGTACAGAGCCACCTGGCCAACAGGAGATAGACTCGTGGGTGGGGTTCAGGCAACATCAAAAGCATCCCTACCACTAAAATGTCACTGAATTCTAGAGTTCAGGAGACCCTGGAAATTACCCAACCAAGTATTCCCCACCTCATCCCCGCATCCAATTGACTGGTCTCTTTTTATATTACTTCTAATACTATGTATTAGAAAGTTTTACCTCTCCCAGATTCCACCCTTGGGCCAGTCTCTCCATCTTGCAGATGACAAAACCAAAGACCAACCAGGGCTCAGGCTCTCACCTAGGGTTGACCCTGCCAGCTTCTAGGAGATCAGACTAATTCCAGAACACTGCTGTCACGCTGGGCTAATGCTACTCACCTCCTGCCACTCTGGGTACTTGCAGGCCCTCGCTGGTTACTCTTATTCTTAGGATTAGCTCCTCCGTTGGAAAAGCTCCAACCAAATCGAAATTATTCTGAACTTAGAATTTCCACACCAGTTTGCGTGTCACGTAGGTCTGCCTAGAAGCAGACATCTCAGGACAACGCAGAAGACAGTGAGTGTGTTTTGAGAAAATGAGAGAGATGAAAAAAAGCAGCAAATATACTAAAACAGTGATTTTCAACCAGAACAGGTTGTGGGTGTCAAGGAATAAGATTTGGGACGGTGCCATGACACATCTGAAGTCGTACTCCAAGCTCTCTTGGAATTCCGTATTTAGAAGGCAAAAGTCTATTTTTCACAATGCAATGTACAGAAAGAACATTTCCACCACCTTCTCGGCTGAGTGGCAGGAGGTGGGCACTGAGATGTGTGTGTCCAACAGAGAATGCATTGAGAGGGGACACTGACAAGAAAAGCACTATACTGTAAATGTGGGGGGCAGTGGGCAGCCAGAGCCCTAGGGCATCCTACAAGGAAGGGACGGAGAAGAGGGAGCAGGCAGGGAAACAGAAAGATCCAGAAGGGGACCCAGAGGGAACACTGAAATCTCACTCTTCTTCAGTTCTGCCTGAGGCTAACTGAGACCCAGAATAGAAATCTGAGAATGTTTATATTTATAGTTTTTATTCCACAAAGAAACCATACACACATCTATTTTAAAGTGTATATTATTAAAAATGCCCGAGGTCCATTCGATGAATTGAAAAAGTCATTTACTTTCCTATCAAGTACAGATTATGTTATAATTAAGTTTCAGTGCGATTTTGAAATGAAAGTAATCTCAGGAAAAGCTTTGGCTTGAATTCTGAGTTTAGGAAAAATGATCATCTGTAGCTTGCTGGAGAGCGTGACGCCCGCGTTAGTGTCGGGGCTGGCCTGCCCTGCTCATGGTGGAAACGCGCTCGGGCCCTGCAGGGAGCCTCTTCCTCTAGGACTTCTGCAACAAGGGCCTCAGCAAACTGTGCCCCTGCGGGCTGGCACCTCGGGTGGCTGAAGGGCGGTGGGCGGATCCTGTGCACAGCACAACACGGTCCTGGAGGAGGCAAAAGGCATCTGTTGCAGAGAAGCTGAGGTCCCCAGAGAGCAGCGAGTGACACTCTTGGGTCCTGTCAGCTTAGTCACTGAATCTCTGATTTACTCACTGTTGATCCTTCAGAGCTGCGCAGGAACCTCCAAGATGGAGGCCTGAGCGCTCATCCTGCCTCCACCCCGCAGCCCGCTAAACCTATGAGATTAGTCTTTCTCCTTCCCTTGCCTGGGAACAAACGAAATGTATAGAAGTATGTTAAGCTGGAAACTGGAAATGCATTCTTAGATTTATTTAAACCCCAGTGTAGTGTAATTAAATATTCAGAGGATATTTTCTCAGAGGCTTTAATTTGCCTAATTCACTAAAAATTGATTTAGGGCTGCTGTCTCTTTCCTGTGTAACGAAAGCGATAGGCATAAGCAAGTTATAGAACCAGTTCTCATCTATAAAATGAAGGAATTACTAACTCGTCACTGGAAATATTGATATGTGAAGCACTTTTAAAAGGGATGATAACAACTACTATTATTACTGTACATTGGAACTAAATGGCCAAAAATTATTTTTCTTGAACTTCATGCTCCTCATCTGTAAAGCAGAGATTAAAAATATTTACCTCAGAAGGGACTGAGAGGATTAAACAAGATCCAAGCAAAGGGGCCGGGGAGTTAGCTCAGTAGAATAAGTGCTTGCCTGGCAAGCACAAGGGCCTGAGTTCAATCCCTGGTTCCGGAAAAAAAAAAAAAAATCCAAGCAAAAAAGTACTTACTTAGCCCATACCTATGTTAGTTATCTATTGCTTCAAAACAAATGACCCCGAAACTCAGCAATTGAAACAGACTCTTCTGATCCTGTGGGGTGGAGCTCCAGGACTGCATTATCTGGCTGTCTGGGGTTTGTGGACTCTATTGAGGTTGCAGTAGAGTTTTCAGGGCTGTGGGTTCACCCAAAGGTTGAACTGCATAGGTGCCTCAGGGGTAGGAAGGAGGCCTGCATACAAGCTCACCTACATAAGTATTAACAGGCCTCTGATTCTCTTTACAATGTGCCACCTAGTTTCCACCCAAGGTGAGCCATTCTGAGAGAAAACAAGAAAGAGTATCATAGGAGCAGCAGCAGTCTTTTTATAACCTAATACAGGAAGTAATATAGGAAGGTTACTTCACCACTTAAGGGAAGTCTCTTCATGAGACGGGAACCACTAAGGCTAGCCCACACACCCCTCTGTTCAAGATTGCATGAAGACATGAGTTACAGTCAGTGGACGCCTCTGGGCGTCACCTCACAGACTGCCTCCTGCCAGTTGCCAACATACACTAAATGCTCAGTAACTATTGTAATTAATATAACTATTGTAATTAATACTTAGAAAAAATTTTAAACAAGTAAATTCAGAGATTTCATTTTGAATTTGACTCCTTCAATGCCTCGCTACAGTCATACATGGGAGAAATTTATATAATTGGTACCAACTCCAACCTCCAGCAAAATTATTTTGTTCTCTTTCCCATATAAGAGCCTCTGATATAATCCTCCTGAAACCACTTTCTCCTGACTGTCCAGGTGATTCATATAACCTACAACCTCCAAATCTCAACTCAGCATCTCCCAAGGGAAGACTCAAGATTTAATGAACTATGACTGTTATTTGCTCCAGAAGAAACTATTTCAGATATTCTAGATCAGTGTTCTCTAAACTTATCACTTAAAAACCCCCTTCAGAGGCTAGGGAGATAGCTCAGCAGTGTAAGCACCTGCCTGGCAAGCACAAGGACCCAAGTTTGATCCCTGGTACCACATGCCAACCCCAGAACTGGGCACGTCATGCCGACCCCTGAAACCAGGCATGGTGGTGCATGCCTGTAATCCCAACACTGGGGAGGCTGAGGCAGGAGGATCACTACAGGTCTGAGCTGCATAGCGAGACCTTGTACCAAGTGAGTAAGTATGCTGAATATTTTTTAAGTTTTATTTATTTATTTATGCAGTACTGGGGATTGAACTCAGGACCCTGTGCTTGCCAGGCAGGTGCTTATTCTATTGAGCTATCTCTCTGGCCCAGTGTCCAATATGCTGAATTTTTTTAAGGTTTATTTATGCACCAAATGAATAAGTAAATGATTTTTTTTAAAAAAACCACCTTCACAGATTTTGCCAAAATCCACATGACCTCTACTAGTACTTAATGATTTCATTGAAATTGAGTAATCTGAATAATACTTTTAGAATAAACTTTAATATTTCTTTTTTCTTTTTTATTTTGGTGGAACCTGGGATTGAACTCAGACCCCTGTGCTTGCCAGGGAAGCACTTATTCTACTGAGCCATCTCCCCAGACCCTAAACTTTAATATTTCAATAAAACAAGGCTATCACTCCTTGCTAGGGATAAAAGGACACTGTAAAATGAAGACTGTACAAAATATATTTAAGATATTTTTGTGAATTTTATTCTTTTTCATTAGTGCATATTTGTCATGCATAATGAATACACATATCCCAGGGAGTTGATACGTGTACATATCATATTTTAATCCTTTTTACTTCTGCTTCCTTCTCCCAGAGATCCCTTAAATCACCTTTCCAGCTGCAAGCCTATCGCTGTTTCCCATTATCTTTTATTTTGCTCTTTACGTTATTTATGCTTTGAGCATCTCAAGTACAAGAAACCACATCCTATTTAACCTTCTGTGTCTGATTTATTTCACAGCAATATGGCCTCAAGGTAATGCAATTAAGATTGATAACATTTTTTTCTTCCAAAACTTCCTTAACCTTTATTCAAAAGTGAAGTTCACAGAAATTAGGGAAATATAAAGAATATAATTAGAATTGTCAAAAGTAATGGGGAAAGACTGATAGAAATAGTGTGCTATGTTTCAAGGTAAAAAATAGGAAAATGTCATTAACAAGATTTTTCAATGAGTAAGACTCTCACACTCATGTTCAGTTCAAATCAATGTGATCTATGTATGTGGCAATTCTTAGGCCCCTCCATGGAGAAGAGCAAGGGATACTCGCAGGGCAAATGTATCTTGGTAATTAGAAACTCCCAACTCAAGGAGTAATGATTCTGACTCCCCTGATCCATTTAAATGACTTGGGTGAGTTGCTGAAGAGCTCCTTATTTCAATTTCCCCATCTCTAAAATTAAGATGGGTAATATCCACAGGACTATTCTAAGGAACAAAGGGGAACTGAAATGGCCTGGGAGAAACACCAAGCCACTTTGCCAGCATGAAATACTGTCATTACTTACCATTGCCTTAGCATTGTTTATTATCTTATAACAACCTTGTATCAGCCCCCATCTTGCTGAGCTATTTCCACTTCTATTCCCAAGCAGCATCTCCTATTATGGTCACTGATTGGCTCTAAATTAATATTGCTTTGATGCTGTTTCAAATACTGGAGAGAAACTGGAGAACAATTTCTGAGTATTTGCTATGGTACTAGTTTTATAGCTGTCTTCCTAAATAATCAAGTGTGGCTCTTAACACACATTTCCAAGGTTGTTTCCTCTTACTATATTATTTTACCCTGTACAGGAAACCTGTGAATCCATCCTCAACTGTGCATTGGAAGAAGTAAAGCAATTCCACCAGCTCCAGAAGCCAGACCACAAACTTTTTGGATTCCGCCTGCCTTCCAAAGCACCACCTACCGCCTCAGGAGCTGCGGTCCCAGATGCTGGATTGGTCATAGATGGGAAGACGTTGAATGTCATTTTCCAGGGCCAGCTGGAGAAGAAGTTCCTGGAGCTGACACAGCACTGCCGGTCTGTCCTGTGTTGCCGCTCTACACCACTCCAGAAGAGTATGGTCGTCAAGCTGGTGCGAGACAAGCTGGGCATGATGACCCTCTCCATAGGTACCCACCACACTGAGAAATGGGAGGCAACCTGGCAGGGATGATCTGACCACAGTCTTGGATCCAGGTGGGGGGAGGTCTGGTATCAAGACCAAGACTTTCATGGTCTCAGAAAGTCCAAAATAACAAGACAATGCAGGAACTAGGAGAGGGAGCAGAGGGTAGCTGTGGAGAGAGCAAATCAAAGGGCTTGGAGCTAGCGGGTCAGCTGAGAAAATCAGGACTTGGAGTCAAGGCCAGGCTGTTGAATTCAGAACATACATGTACCTCAGGAAATGTCATCTGAGAACACACACTCAGCCATCTCAGTTCCCAGGCTCAGGTCCTTTCCCCTCCGTACTCTGTGCACAGCAGTATCTCAGGTATTTATGAATTTAATACTCTCCTGAGTATAGCAGGTTGGTAAAGAGATTCATTTTAGTTGGGATTGGCTTTTATTTTGTATGCTTATTCCTAAATACAAGACCAGCATCAAGCATATCCCCAATAAATGCTGGTTGGTTGATTTAAAGTGGCTTAGAAGGAAGTAAATTTTAATGATGTTGAAACACAAAAATAAAAACTACTCACTTAACACCTTCCAGAAACAACCAAACATGGGTACGTACCTTTGTCTCCCGCCACCTCCCTTGTCTCGCACTTTCCTCGCCCTGACATTTGCCCCTCGGTTCCAGCCAAATGGAGCTGCTCTGCATTCTGCACAGACCCTGTTCCCTCTCACTGACAGCTCTCTGCAGAGGCTGTTCCCTCTGTAAAGCAACCAGCTGCAGCTCACTCTTTTCTGGTAGGATTCCTCTAACAACCACTACTCAAAGGTCCAAGTACCAGCACACCTTCTGTGAGGGCCACCTCAGTAAGCCACGAGCTCTGATAGCTGGAAAATTCACTCTGTTTTAGTCACTGTCTGGCCACATGGGAGCACACACTAAGCACATAGTAAGTACAGCAGTTTCCCCCTTTATCTTTTTTTCATCTTTTATAGTTTCAGTTACTTAGAGCCAACTGAGGTCCAAACATAGTACAAGGAAAATTCTAGAAATACTTTGAACATTTTTAATATTTTATTATAGTATTTTATAATTTACTATACTTTATTAGTATTTATTACTGTTCATCTGGTGGCACCTAATTCATAAACCCTACCATCCATATGTATAGACATATAGGAAAAAAACAAAGTTTCAGACTTCCAGGATCCCAGCAGACGCCTCCTCAGGCAAATATGGGTCACGCTATTGAGTCCACTTAGTGACATTTATGCAGATGGTGCACTTACGCAGCCTCTTTTCTTTCTACACAGGCATGGAAAGAGATTTCTTTGCTAGCATTGCAAATGAGATCTACTAGACATTGTGCTCTCCCCTTCTCCCTCTCTCTCCCTGCTTCACCTAACCATCAAGTAAAATCAATGCAGAATTTTAAAAGCAGGGGAGTAGAACATTGCAGGAAGCAGAGCTTTACCACTTGCCTTCTGCTTTTGTACTCTGTATTCTCCCTGCAATAATTCAGGCACACATAAGGCAGTATATCCCAGGCCTGATTCTGGGAGGTCAGAAACTGGCTTCACTCCCATAGCAACAGAGATAAAGTCGGCCATGCGAGAAATAGCCGGGCTCCACACCTCTGCCTCTCCTGGCTGTGTCAACAGAAGAGGTTGAAGGTTGATTTGTTCTGCCATGGGAAGGGTTAAAATTATGCACTGCTATGCCATCAAGAAAAAAAAAATCGTTGTTAAAATGAAGTTAACCTACAGTGACAACTTTTCTGGTTTCATGTTTTAATTGGCATAATTGTGCATATTTATGAGATATAGTAACCAAAATTTTAATATTCTGCTGTCAAATAATTAGAGAATCATAGTCTCTCTCCTGCAATTCTATATGCCCTATGATGAGAAATATAAACTTAATTGCAGTTTATTCTGAGAAGCTACTAGGAAAAAAGAGGTGAAGACGACAGGCAGCGTGGTGTACATCATGCCTTCGAAAGGCACAGCCGACTGCAGGCTTTTCTGGGTGCTAAAGATGGTTTCTATATTTTTATCTTTATAGTCTCTTTTCTTTTGCACTCTTTAATTGGTTATGCATATTAATTAATGGATTTTATTTGGGCAAATTCATACAAGCACATAACATACTTTGATCATTTAGTTCTTATATTTTTAATGCAAGTCTTATAAAAGGTTATTTACTTTCCAACCAGAAATATTGTCTGATTTTGCTTCTTGACTCACACAACCTAAAATATTTACTAGCTGACCCTTTGAGTTTAGTTTGCTGAACTCTGTTTTTAAAAATAAAGCTATGGGAAGAACTCCCAGGTTTAAAACACATAAAACTCAATACTATCTTTTCTAAAAACATCTTTCCTAATATCTGATATCCCTCTTTGACAGAAAAAAATAAAGTGTTTAATGATGTGTCATCCTGGAGGAGAAAAAGAAGATAAAGCACTAGGAAGAATAAGGCTTCTAGAGAATTCCTCACTCTACAGAGCTATGTGTAGACCTACATATGATTACTCGGATTTAATTAAAAGTAAATGAAAATTTACCAGCCACATTACAGTAGCCACATGTGGCCAGCAGTTTCTGTGGTGGACCGTACAGATCTAGAATATTCCCACCACAGCAGGTCAAGTGCCAGTCCCGGTGCAGAGGAAGGCCGTGTCTGTGAGCGTGGGCGCCTGTGCATGTATCTGGCCACGGCGTACCTCCATCTCCTGACACAACGCAGTTCTTGGAATGGTAATGCCATGTCAGAAAATACACCTCAGCAACAACCACAGCAGAAAGCTAATCTAAAAATTTTCAGTATTTAGAAACAAAACTGAACACCTTGGGCAACATTCATCATCTCTGAGGAGTTGGCTTCCGAATGTTCTTGTTGTTCTAACATAGTCAGTAGTCGAGTTAGAACGAGTTACAGAAGCACGCTGGTGCTGGCATCAGAAAAAGCTGAGTTCTAATTCTTCTGTATCCCTCCTCTACCTGGATTACCCTTGCTAAGTCTCTAAGTTGCTCACGTTGCTCAACGGTGAAGCCCGTAGTAACCTTTTGCACAGATCTTTGTTAAACTGTGAAGGACTCACTGCCCATGTGGCCCTCTTTCTCACCATTGTATCTCCAATACATAATATTGTGACCAGCAAAAAGGTTGTTGCTAGCATTTTCAATTGATGTATCAATTACAAACAGTGAAAAAATATTTTTATTATTTTTAAGAAAATAACAAGTTTTGTACCAGTAAACACCATCTGTAATTTTAAACTGTTTAAAAAAGAGAAGCATATCAGGATATACTTTGTCCTGTGTAAATATGAATTAAACTCCTGATCAAAAAAGATATTAATAATTATTTGTTCAACGATAAAAGATAGGGCTTCATGGCTTTCTATGGACTCTTTGGAGAAACACTAAAAAGCACAGTGTTCAAATGGGAACACTATACAGCCCTCTCATTGTCACTGAGAAATAGAGCCAGGAACAAAGACACCTCATAGCCTCTTTCTCTTTCAGGTGATGGAGCAAATGACGTAAGCATGATTCAAGCTGCCGATATTGGAATTGGGATCTCTGGACAGGAAGGCATGCAGGTACTGTGCTTGTCTACTATTCATTTGTCCCTACTTGCCTTCATCCTTATTTCTCCCCTACCCTCCTTTAATCTCCTCACTAGAGATTTAAGGAACAACCCACGGAGCTGGAGAACTATCAACTTAAAAGTCACAGGTCTTTCACACCTCAACATGACCTCTGACATTACACTCCTATTGCCAGACATTAAAACTCAGAGGGAGACCAAAGAATTTTTGTTTTTTATAGAAGGACAATGAAACCTACATCCTAAAGCTGAGCAGTACCTTAAATGTAAGCCTTCCTTGATTCCTCATACTTCTCTATGTCTTCAACCCAAATCCAAAGTGGCAGTGCCTTCTGTATGCATTGACAGACAGAAGGATATTTAAAGACATTGTTCAGTTCTCACTGTAGTCTTGATGGCCAGATTAACCCATCAGTTGCTTAGTCCTCTTTCGTGGTGTATCTAATTTACTCAAAATGCCACTTGGAATGAGCATACTAACTTGAGTTGCTGTCCTTTCCCACTAAAACAGATCCTATTTTGTGATTTGGAAGCATTAACAATTGTATTCCCACCACTAGGCAGACATTTGGCATTGCCTAAATGTGTTGGTAAGCATGAAAGAACATTGATCAAGTAGCCACAAAATAGTTCCAAATTACCCTTTAGGTATCTACCTTATGCCAGCTGTTAGATACTTGACATTTATTACCTCATCAGCTTTTAATAATCACAATTAGGGATTGTTGTTCTGTTCTTTTCAGGTTTTTGTAGAAAGCCAATGAAATCTACATTCTAAAGCTAAACAGTACCCTAAATGGAGGCTCAGGGAGTTGAAGGAACCTAACCAAGGTTCATACCAAGATTGATAACCAGGGATGTTCAACCTTAATATTCTTACGAGTACTCTAGACATTATCTTATTATGACCATTCCTGATGAAAGAAGCTACATGTCAACTCCCTTTAAAGGATGAACTCTCCAGCCCCCAGCCCCCTCTGTGCATGTCTCTCATGGCCTGCCCCAGGAGACGATGAAGGGTACGCCAAGGTTGGAGAATTATTTGAATGAAAGTTCCTACTTGCTGATTAACTATCACAGTCCTAAAATGGAACCTGACACATAGTGGGCCAAAACAAATACTTTAGGAGTAAATGGGTGGGAGATAATGGGCCAGCCTCGACCTCGGCCCATTCTGGTCTCCCGTTCTTGGATTCCAGTGAGGTTTAGATTTCCCAGAAGAGAGGGTGGGGTGTCTGAATTCAAGGGAACTCTCAGACCCTGTTGCCCATGGAGGCAGAAGAAAGCATCGTCCTTCATGCTGTTGGTGGCTTTGGGTAGAAACAGAGGCCTCTGCTCTCCCCTCTCAGGCCGTCATGTCCAGCGACTTTGCCATCTCCCGCTTCAAACACCTCAAGAAGCTGCTGCTCGTGCATGGCCACTGGTGTTACTCGCGCCTGGCCAGGATGGTGGTGTACTTCTTCTACAAGAATGTGGTGAGTGGGGCCAGGGAGAAAGCTCAACAGCATAAGTGCTTGCCGGTCAAGTGCCAGGTCCTGAGTTTGATCCCCAGTGCTGTAAGGAAAAAAAAAGCCGTGGTGAGTGACCCTGCTTGCCAGAGCCAGATCTTCATAAGGCAGTCAACAGTGTACCTCAGAGTAAAGGGTAATTCAGGCTGACCTGAATTTTGGACCTTAAAATTATTCCATACTATCTCTATGACTTTGGGCAAGACTATTCATGTCTCTGGACCATAACAGCCTCTTTGAAAGTTTTTGTAAAAATTGGCAACACCACACAGAAAGCACCTGGCACAAAGGTGACAACACGAATGGTTTTGAGTATGGACTCTGCCATTGGCATACTGGGTTCCGATGCAGGTGCTTTAATGTGGTAATGTCCCCAGACCTCAGTTTCATTAGCTGTAAAACGCACAAGCAATAATGCCTTTCTCCTATACATGCTATCAGTCAGTTTTGAATCATTGCATGAGAATACCTAATGTGACTTCTCAGGAGGAATAGTTTTGTTACCTCACTGTTGGAGATTTCAGTCCACAGTTGGTTGGTCCATTGCAGTTGGACCTGTACAGAGGCCAACATCACAGCGGGGAGCAAGGCACAGAGGAAGCACCTGCCCATCGCAACAGGAAACAAGAGAGAGAATGGGCCAGAGTCTGGGTGTCTACTTTAGGAGCATACTCCAGGTGCCCTGCCTACCTCCTTCTACGCCTCATTTCCAAATGGTTGCATTGGCTGGCAACTGAACAGCAACAATGGGCCTGTGTGGGCCCCCTAACTTACCCTAGTTATAGTATTCACTATGAAGCTTAAATGTGAGTTTGCATATAAAATAATTGTCATGTAGTAATAACTCTGTAAGATTACCCATTACTTTTCATTAGCATTGTTGCTGTCATTACTCCTTACAGCTAAATTTCATAAAGGAGATTTTTCAGTTGCAGGGAAGGATTTGAACTCTCACCTGAGCACTGTAATAAGTTGGTCTATCTCCAGATAGAGCTATCCCAGGACACTCTGCCTTGCAAGAGTAAAGGTCGCTCCCACAATGTGAGCCTGGAGCCCCTAGGCTCAATCACTGGATACCTCCAGGCTTCTTACAGGAGCTCCTGGGAGCATGACTGATCTGCCCACAAAAAGTCCTGCGAGGGTGGATCATGTGGGATATGATGTCTTCTGACTCTAACATGCTGGGAGACATTGGAAAAGGCACCTAATTTAACTGGACCTGAGTTTCCTTAGTAATAATGCAGAGAGTATATGGCTCCTGCTGTCCCTAGAAGTGTTATTATGAGGCTTAAGAGTCAGCTCCCTGGAAAGCTCACAGCACTATGCAAGCAATGTTGTAAAGACAGTGGTGTGTCTCCTAAAAATTATACTGTCTGGTTTCTGTCCTGTTTTCTGGTCTAAGACAAGCCCACACTGTGATAGTCAAGCTGCCAGAGGTCCTAAAAGTCTGAGATTAACAGTGGGTATAGGGAAGAGTCTGAACATCACCATACCACAGGAAGGAACAAAACCCTCATTTTTTATTACCTAACTCAAAGACCTGTGAATAATCCCCAGGAGTTCCCAAATAGAATTAACTCCTCTTTGCATAAGGAAATGGGGACAATTTAGGCCAGGGTGAATTTGCCGAGGAACAGCTACGAAATTGTGGCTTTTTTGCTCTGGGCCCCTTCTGACAGTCCTCCCTGTAGGCTGAGCACTCCGGTGCCAAGCTCAGTACATATGTAAATAAAGAGCAGAGCAAAAATAATGTGAATTCGATCCACTAGATAGTAGTAGTATCTAAGCAAGTCTATGCAAACAAGTTGCTCCATTTGAGTTAAAACTCATTCTGAGCATGTGAGGCTATTTATTTAGAATTCAAAATGCCCATTTAATTTTTTTTTGAAACCAAAGGAATCGTTCTTTCGAATAAGCACAGCCTCTTCCCTGTGTTAAATTTGTGAAATAGAAAAGGAAATGTTTCCAACCAGCCGTGCTTTCAAAGTTTAAATGATATTTATTTCTAGCCTGATTCCATGCTCAAAATTGTGATACTAATGCCGCATTATCTTCCCACTGCAATTAGAAGGTGGAGAACTATGACTCCCACATCCGAAACCAATTTTCAGAGGGGATTAAAACCCTCCCTGCTCTGAAATGTGAGCAATGAATTAATTATTGCATGGAAGCTTCTTGGGAGAAAGCAAGCAGCCCATCTCAGCGATGCTGCCGTGGGCTTTCACGGGCTCCCTGGGGCATGCGGAGATTTCAGCAGGCTCAATCCCACCAGGGCCGGGAGGAAACAGACAGTCTACAGTGGTGAAACTTCAAGGGGCTGTGTAGAGCCAGAGAACATAGATTTACCCCAGCTGTCAAATAAGTACTGAATGTCTTCTGTGTGGTGGGAGCCATGGTGGGCCGCAGGGACAGACTGGAGATGGAGCCAACAGCAACCCCAGGGGCTCAGAACATGTTTCTTCAATCACCAGACCAGGGATGTTTGCTATTTTGCAGGTGATAGGTGTCTAGAAGAATCTCACTGTGTAAGCTAAAGGTAGGACCAAGTAAGGCTAGAGTATTTACAGCAAAAGAAGCTTGAAAATTCAGATGCTCGCTGTACCACTTTCAAGCTTTCAACTTGGGCAAAGAGAAAATAAATATTTCGGAGTCTTACCTGTAGACTAGGACTAATAATAGATAATACCATTACTGCTCTCAATATGTTCTATTAATATAGCATAAATATAATGCTATTAGCAAAAATAATTTGTTAGGACAATTATGTATATTGTACACCTATTAATCTACTACATAGTGGTATGTAATAATGTGGATCACTTATAGCACATATAGAATAATTACAATAATTATAATTGATGGTAGAACAAAGTATTGTGTTACTATTAATAATGATAATAATAGCCTCTTCAAAATAATTCCAGCCCAGCCATTAGGAGGTAAAAATTCTAGTTTGAACATAAAGCTACCCACTCATTTCTTGTAAGACCCTTCATGTCTCTGTGTCTCAGAACCAGAACATTTCAGCTCTGAGGGACTAATTCTAGGACCAGCTGCTGTGTGACCTTGGTCAGGTCACCCAACACTTCACAATACAGTAGGCATCATAGGGACCAAGCCTATGCCCAACAAAGAGCCTTGAAAAAAACACTAATAAGGCTAGGCATTGGGGTGCAGGCCTATAATCCCAGCACTCAGAAAGCTAAAGCAGGAGGATATCTTTGAGTTTGAGACCAGCCTGGGCTACCAAGTGAGCTTAAGGCCAGCCTGAACTACATAGTGAGCCCGTGACTCAAAAAGACAAACCCTTGGTGCTGGGGTGATGGCTCAGTAGAACAAGCACTTACCTGGCAAGCACAAGGGCCTGAGTTCAATCCCCGGTTCAGAAAAAAAAAAAAAAAAGACAAATCCTAATAAAGCAATGCTCAGGCAAAATATTTTCTTATGAATAATAAGGGAGCATGTGGGATGGTAGACCTTCTCATGAGATCAGTTCCCCACAGGCTTCCTGCTCACCTCACGGTTCAGGCCTCTGTCTGTGACATCACTTTACTTTATATTACCACACACGGCCATTCATGGGACATGGTCTATGCATTACTGTTCGTGTGACAGGTGACAAAGTGATGTTCAGAAAGGTTAAGAAGTTGTCCAGAGTCACACAATTAGGAAGTAACCGACCTGGGGATTTAAAACTTGTCCTCTTAACTAAAGCGCCTGCTTACACAGGCACAGGGACCGGGTTCGATCCCGGGCATGCTGTGCTGGCCCCATGCCCGGAGCATGCTGACATGGCCATTGAGACTGGGTGTGGTGGCGTGCGCCTGTAATCCCAGCACTTGGGAGGCTGAAAATAGGAGAATCACTACAAGCCCGATCTGTGTAGTGAGACTTTATAGACCCTGTACCAAAATACCTTAAAAAAAATACTTGTCCTTAGGACCCACACTTCACATGCTAACGGTGTCCCCTTGGGGCCTTGAAGAACACTAATAATTATAACCGAAGCATTAACAGCAGGAGCTGCTGCGGTAAGGATTAAAGATAGGCCTGCACTCCCCCCGTAGCACGTGCCTCACAGCCCTGCCTTCAGGACCGGCCGAGCCGTCCAAATAAAGAAATAAATAAAGATAGGCCTGCATGTTGGGAATGAGGAGGGGAGGCCCCGCGTGCGTGGGTGAGAGGTCGCAGCCCTCAGCAGCCGCCACTGACCAGCCGCAGTGCACAGCCCCTTCGCTCACACAGCCCTCTGCCTGTCTGCAGTGCTACGTCAACCTGCTCTTCTGGTACCAGTTCTTCTGCGGCTTCTCCGGCTCCACCATGATCGACTACTGGCAAATGATATTCTTCAATCTCTTCTTCACCTCTTTGCCTCCAATCATCTTCGGAATCCTCGATAAAGACGTCTCCGCAGAAACACTCCTGGCATTGCCCGAGCTGTACAAGAATGGCCAGAACTCGGAGGTAAAGGGTCCGGGCAGGCGGGAAGAGGCAGCCTCAGCTTGGCTCTGGCCACTCTCGCTTTTCTGGGTGTCAGAAGGAGAGCACTGGGCTGGAAGTTCAGAGCCCTGCCTTGGAGCATGTTCTGCCACCTCCCTCCCATGTGACTTTGAGTAACTCCTCTCCTAACTCCTGGCCTCTGTCTCAATTGCTGCTGAGGGTATTGGATCAGAGCAGTGAATACATTTTTTTTCTTCTAATCACTTTTAAATTATTTCACAGGAGGCCAGGGAGATAGCTGAGTAGAATAAGCACTTGCCAGGCAAGCACAGGGTCCTGAGTTCAATCCCTAGTACTGCAAAATCAATCAGTCACAGGTCAAGATATGACTGGCCTAGGTGAAAGGAGAAAAAGCATGCAGAAAGTTGCTGTATCTCTATTACAGTACATAAATTGAAACCACACAGTATAGTGTACTGGTCTTTTACAGCTGCTATGACAAAATGCTCATACCTGAGTCTGCAAAATGTAGAAAGAAAAGGAGTGCATTTAGCCCACTATTTTGGATGCTCAAGTGCAGGATCAGGCAACACCATCTACTTAGCCTTTGATTGCACCAGACCATCAAAATGGCACCACACGAGCAAGCACAACATGAGCAAGAGGGAGAGATCACAAGGTGTGATGGCTTGTGTCTAGGCCACCCCCACGCCCTCCTGCTCTCATAGGTGGGGCTTTTCAGAGGCAGCTGGGTCTAGGGTGTGTGATGCTGGGGTTAATGCTGCCATGCTAGGATTAAGGGTGCCCCACCCTGGGCATGGGCATAAGGAACAGAAACCAGGCTGCTGCCGTCACTTGCTGCTGCTGCTGCCTGATGCACCTGCTTGCTTGTTTGCAGCCTTCTGCCTTCCCTGCCATACCATGGACTGTTTTTCCTCTCCAGTGTCTCTCTGCCAAACTGTAAACAGAGACCGAGACCTCTACAAATTAATGTTGGGTACCAGGTGTTCTGTCTCAGCAGCACGAAAAGTGACTAAGACCCAGGGTGAGACAGAAAGCCAGAGCAATCCAGGCACAGGCCTGCTTTTTCATTTTTTTTAATTGTATTGATTTATTTGATACAGGGTCCCACGGTGCAGTTCAGACTCATAATGATCGTCCTGTCTCAACCTCCCCTAAGCATGTACCACCATGCCCAGCTTCAGTGGCTGGGACGGCATGCACAAGTTCTGGAGCCAGCATAGCATGTGGTACCAGGAATCGAACCCAGGTCCTTGTACTTGCCAGGCAGATACTTAGGCCGCTGATCTATCTCTCCAGCTCTAGGCCTGCTTTTTTATAGCAAATCACTCTCAGAGGAACTCAATCACCCTCTGAGGCCAGTATTAATCACATTCAAGATGGTAACTTCAGTGACCTAACCACCTGCCATTAGGTCACATTTCATAAAAGTATGATCATCTCTTCACATCACCACAGTGAGGACCAAGGCGCAAGAACTTGAAGCCTTGAGGGACACACACAAACCATGTCCAATCCATAGCGCCTAGTTTGGGAAGCCCTGACTCTAAAAGTTGGTTTGCTGATCACTGGTTAAGACACTCATAAATGAGGCTTCTACTTCACAATGGGGAAGGCACAACTTAGAAACTAAGCTCACATACAGTCTAGAATTTTTGTGTCACATAGAAGTCCTGGAAAGACATCAGATATCTTTTTAGAAAGACCAGAGAGGCCACCAGGCAGCCATGAGTGATCTGGAGAAGGCAGATGACAGGCATGGTAGGTGGTCAGAGCAGGCCAAGGACAGGTAAGGAGACAGGATGAGGGAGAGGGACCCTGTTTGCCTAGAAGGGAGCTCTAGGGAAAAGGGTTCAGAAACACCAGACAGTACAGTAGGTTGGCCTGGGACACAGGACAAAACTGCCTGTGGTTTCGGAGATGTGCTGATTTTTTATGGACAACCAAGAAAGAACTGAGCACAGTGCTGGACCCAAAGGCAGTAGGAGAAACCAACAGAACAGTCCAAGCAAGAGGACTGAGGCAGCCCAGATATATCCTAGGCACTTCTACCGTCTGCTTTCCCACGGACATCCTGGCTGTATACCATCCCCCATGAGCAGCTACCATGGTGGGAGGTCAGTGTAGTTAGAACAGGAACTGTAAGGGCTTCCTTTACCCCCAGGAAGGCAGAAAGTGTGAAGCAAAAAATGAAAAGGTTCGTCTCTATAGCCATTGAGCTGTCTCTGTGATGCTGTGGTCCTGGGGTGTGATTGATATCACTCAGAAACTTTTAAATCTCTCCATGTGCCAGGTTTGTAGTAATACAAGCCATAGAAGTAGTGTGTGATAATTAACAATGGAGCACTTGCCAGATTTCAAGGTTCAGTTGCGGTTGGTCTCCAACCCCAAGGAAATGAGCTTATCTACATTTAGGGGAAAAAGAAAGCAGTTTCCAAACAGCTTGGTAATTGGTACAAGGTCACATGATGAATGGCAGAGCTGAGACTAGCGCTGAAATCCGTCACTCCCGCTACCATGCCCCTTTCTATGTGGCTACCAGAAGCAGCACAAGTGAGGTATCATACAGCAGAAACACACAAGAAAGGTGCTGGTGAAGAACAGAGTTTGCTCGGGTGATGTTAATGGTGGGTGTGCTCTTCCCTGGCAGTGTTACAACCTATCGGCTTTCTGGATTTCCATGATGGACGCATCCTACCAGAGCCTCATCTGCTTCTTTATCCCTTACCTGGTAAGTCCCTTGGTCTCATTCTGGACACACAAGTCACAGCGCGTGACCTAGCCTGGCTGTACCCAACTGCAGACTACCAATGTCTTCTTGGACACTCCAGAGTAGACTCCAAACTGACGCCCACACTCGGCATCCCATACAGAGGGTTACTTTCTGGCAACTTTTGAAAAACCAGGAGCTGTTATTTCACTGGGTCATTTCTTCTTCCTAGCAAGACTCAAGATTGGACTCAGCCCTGCTCAGATGGGGAGATGGTGTGTGTCTAATTTTCTGGAAATTGTCTCTGCTCTTGACCTTTGTCTTATACCAATAGCTCATTTGCTGCTTCCTGCCTGATTATTGAAGATGTGTGAATTTATAGCCCCTGAATTGCACATACAGATTTGTGCTTCCAAGGTCAAAGCAGCAAGTTTTGATAAAAATGGTACTATATCATCTTAAATAAACAGCAATTACATGGCAGCAAATAATACCACCCATCTCAGTTTGGGTTCCAGTTTAAATCGTAAGGGTTTAGCAGGGACACCTCCGCTCTTCCTGGATAGGGGGCCAGGTTATTGGGCAGTTGCCCCCAGGTAAGCAATGACACTTAGCCAGGAGCTGAGCTCATATTATTTTACAACTAGCACCAAGAAAAGACTATGTTGGATCCCTGGGCCTGCTGAGCCAGCCCTGCCCCCAATTGCCGCTGAGATGGCAATTGAAACTGGGCATGGTGGTGCATGCCTGTAATCCCAGCTCTTGGGAGGCTGTAAACAGGCGGATCACTACAGATCTGATCTAGTAGTGAGACCCTGAACACCTTGTAGACCCTTCCCAAAAATACAAAAAAAAAAAGGAAAGAAAAAAAAGAGAGGACTATGGAAGACAAGCATCTTATGCCCTACTCAGATTTACTAGTTTTCAATTGGCCTCTGTAAGGTTTATCTTCTGCACCTACCAAATACTTAACAGATAGCATACAGCAGTACAAAGTTCTACAAACCTCTGCAAACCCACCAGGCTAATCTCCAGTTCTTCTTCCTGGACTGTACTTCCCTGTGTTCTCAAGCGACGAAGTTCCCTAACTCTCATCTCAGCTAATCTGTCTCCTGTGTTCGCAGGCTCCCACGTCTTCGTCTCCATGGTAACACTCACCACTTTAAGTTGTGCCACATCTGTTGTGCCTAGTACACTGCAAACCCACTGAAAGTGGACACAGAAGTAGCCTCCACACAGTGCCTGGTGGGTGCTCAGGAGAGCCTCTGTTCATTCATTCCATGAGAGCTTTACAACCCTCATCATGGCTTCTTCTGGCAAACATGCCCCTAAATAACTTAGTTCCATCCACTTCTCGTGTGTTCTGTGGATAGCAGCTGGACTCCCTTCTCCTTCCCCTCACTTGGTACCCACCTTCGGTGATGCTTTCTAATCACTGTATCAAAGCCTTACATTTCACAATTCCTGTTTGTTCCCCCTCTGCAGACCTACAAAGGCTCTGATATTGATGTCTTCACATTTGGAGCTCCAATCAACACCGCCTCCCTCACCACAATCCTCTTGCACCAGGCAATGGAAATGAAGACGTGGGTAAGTGTCTGAGACCCTTAAGCTTAAAAAGTAAGTTCCTATCTTTTGACAACATTAAGATTTTTGAGTTGGTTCTCTGTATTTTGAGCTACTCAGGAAATACATACTGAGCTCCCAGCGGTAGCCTACATGTAAAGGGGTGATTTGGATAAAAAAGACAAATCCCTGGCCATGATATTTGTATCCACCCAGGATGTCAAAACTGACATATATTAAACATGAGATGGTTCGTTGAAAAATTTTGATAACATTGACAAAATGTTCAGGAGTGTTACAGAGACAAAGAAAAATTGGGCTGAGCGTGGCTGGAGTTGTATAAAGAAGAATGTTTCATTCAATTTTAAGGTTAAAAATTAGAAAACTGCCTTCAGATCACAACATTCCAAGTATGTTTATGTATCACATTTCTACCTCTGAAAAGGCAACCCCAGCCTTCTCAATGAAGTTGAGAACCATAAAAGCAAAAAGCTTATGATAACCATAAAAGCAAAAAGCTTGAAATCATGCTTTATATATATTGTCTCATGTAACTTCACAGAGCCCTTTGTGTAAAGTATCTTTGTAGTCCATTTTACATATTTAGACATGTAAATATGTACATATTTACAACAAGATTAAGAAATTGGCCCTAAGCAGTTCAAAAGAAAAGCAGATTTTGAATGCTGGCAGCCTGGCTTTTGAGTATGTAACAATTTTGCTAGTAGAGGGAAGAGACAACTTTGAAGTGGTACATGGCAATCAGTACAGAACGATTCATTGCGAATCACATTGAAATGGCTCTTTCTGAAGGGTATGTATCAGACACTTCCTCTGTTATGAAATGGCACCGACCTCACCACTATCATAAGCAAAACCATACCCTCACCAGCTCGGCATTCACGGGTAAGAGCCACTGGAGGAACTTGTGGATCCAAGTTCCCCTTTTGAAAGCCCCTCATACTCTGCAGCATGCCAGTGACTGAGCAGAGCACGGAAACCACAACAGCAAGCAAGCTCAGACCACAGGCTTTCTGGGAGTCAGGACCAGACAGAGACCACACAGGCGGGCAGGCGGCTCCTGTGGCACAGAGTAGGTGAGAACCCCATGTACTATGAGATCCAACTTCTGCTCTCAGAAAAGCAAGCTAAAGAGCGGACAGTGATGAGCGGTTTGGCGTTTGCAGCTTTATCAGAAGTTTGCAGCTATACCAGATGAGCTGGAATACTAAGGGCCTTTAGAGCTCTTGAAAATGAAAGCTGCTCATTGAAACTAAAAGTCCATTTATGAGACTCTTCTGGGTCAGACACTGGGAAAAAGTAGGCTACCAAATTGGAAAGTAGTATTGGGAACTTGTCCAGAATATCATGCAATTCTGAAAAGGTAATTAAGAGAAATGGTGGCTGGAAGGAATGGCTCCATCACCCACAGAATAGGAGACGCAAGAGAAATATATAAGGGGAAAATAATAGGCAATTGACACAGTGATATTTGGCAATAAAAATAAATCTGGGGGGCCGGGGAGATGGCTCAGTAGAATAAGCACTTCCCTGGCAAGCGCAAGGGCCTGAGTTCAATCCCCAGTACTGCAAAAATTTTTTAAAAAGTCACTAGAAAACACTGGATTATCTTCAAAGGCTTACTCATGCATGGAAATATAACATTAAGCCCTATGAATATGTGCAAATCTTACATGTTAATAAAAAGGGAAAAATAAAATTTCTGATATGCAACGAGTTTTATCACCCATAACCCCCCCCCACTAAAACAAGGAATATATCTAAGAAAGAACATTTTTAAGAAAACTAGAATTCTAAGAAATGACATGAGGAGGAAAAGGAGGAAGAACTAGTCAAGAGGTAATTTTGTGAGCTTCCTCATCACACAAAGAAGGAAAATAGAGGGATACATTTTAAAGTATGTCCTCAACTTACCAACAAGCTCTGTTCCAGGAGAAGGTTTGCAAGTTGGTTTCATTCACAGTCCCACAGAGTCTCATACAGGACACCTGTGAATCTTACCCAGTACATCTGTGAAAGTTCACAACTCAAATGTTGGGAAGTCGGGGACTTACTATGTGCCTTTTTCCATAAAAGTTCCCATCAGTTTCTTACACACTTATTATGGTTAAATGCTAAAGGGCTGAGAAGCGGAAAACACACAAAGCTAGCAGTCTATTCTGCAGAGTGGAGGGATGGCGGAAAGGGCAGGTGACAATACAACATATGCTCCAAATGTCAGTATGCAAATATAAATGGATTCAATTCTCCTTTTAAAAACAAAAACTATCACATTACATATTTTTTCACCAGAAGAAACCGGCAAATTCATAATTACAGCATGAGATCATTTTACAGCTCCATCAGACTTACACAGATCAAATAGACAACAAAGTAGAATGGATGTATAGGTTCTCAATCAATTGTCATATTTGACCTAATATATAAAGCCCTACTCCAAACAAATAGCAAATATACAAAAATACCAAAGTTCAAAGCATACAAGGATTTGAAAGAAAAATCATAAGGACACTGTTCCCTGACAAAAAGATATTTGAATTAGAAACAAGTGATAAGCAAGTAACCAAACAAAACCTAACATACTCAGTAATTCCAAAATGTGCTTCTAAATGACTTCTGAGGTTGACAATAAATCAGGATGTAACTTATAACACAATTCCTGTTGAATTACTATAAAAATATGACAGATGCAAACTTGGAGTGCAGTTAAAGCTTCTCTTAAAAATGAAAAGGTAAGAAGATAAACAAGTTAAGAAGTCAAGGAACTTAAAAGATTCCTGTGTATACCTTAAAGAACATAAAAGAAACAAAGTGAGAAGAGGTGAAGGAATAGGGGTGAAAAAAAAATCAGTAAACCCAAAAATGAGCTCCTCAAAAGTCCAAAGAAGGGGACTGGGGAGATAACTCAGTAGAATAAATGCTGGCCTGGAAAGCATAAGGTCCTGAGTTCAATCCCCGGTACCACAAAAAAAAAAGAAAAAAAAAATCTTTAAAAAAGTCCAAAGAAGAGGGCCAGCCAAATAGCTCAGCGGATTAAAGTGCCTGCAAGCAGGTGCAGGGGCCGGGGGTTCCTGCCATGCCAGCCCCGCCCCTGGAGTGTGCTGAGGCGGCACTTGAGACTGGGTGTGGTGGCATGTGCCTGTAATCCCAGCTCTTGGGAGGTTGTAAACAGGCAGATCACTATGAGTCCAATGTAGTAATGACACCTGAACATGCTGTAGACCTTTCCCTAAAATACAAAAAAAGAAAAAAGAAAAGAAAAAAAAAGAAAAAAGAAAGAAGAAAAAAGAAAGAAAAAAAAGTCCAAAGAAGGTCCTGGAGAGATCGCTAAGTGGATTAAAGCACCTGCTTAGGCAGGCTTAGGCAAGAACAGGGACCATGGTTCAATCCCTGGCACCACATGTCGAGCCAGCCCTGCCCCCAGGGTAGGCTGAGCCAGTCAGA